CGTAGCCACAGCAAGAGACCCATTCTTGCTCATTACCTTTTGGTAATCATCCAGTAAACGGTTGTACGGGTCGAAGATTTTGCCAGCCACCAGCTGGGAGTGAGACTGACCATGCGAGAACGGATCTGACTGGCCGAGACCAGCAAGCAGCGCTCTCGACACTTTGTGTTCCAGTCCACCATTCTTCAGCAGGTAATCGACTCGAGGGATCGAGACCGGCATTTGCGGCGGAGGTGGGGGCGGCGGGGGCCCGCCGAATGCGCCTGGGTTCATTGGTTTCACATAATCAATCGACTCGTCGCTGGGGGTATGGCGGTGGGACATGGCCGATCGGTTCTGCGTGCGAGAGGGCGGTTTCGTCGGTGGGGTCGAGGGCTTTCGTGGGGCTGAGTACTGCTGGTTGGGAGCAATGGAGGTCGCATCAGAGATCGACTCGGCGTCGATATCACGAACTGTCAGGTTGGACTGCGAGGCTGACATTGTTGAGCGACTGGAGCGTTTGGGCAGCTTCTTCTCATCGGAGCTTTTCGTCTTGGACTTGTGACTCGACGACCGAGGCGGAGATTCCTTTTCATCCTTGGACGTCGACGTTCTGGATTTCGAAGGTGTCTCTGTTCGGGACGTCTTGCCCGACTTGGACCTGACGGTGTCATCTTTCTTCGACCGCAGACTTGACGAGGATCTGTTGACCTCCGTCCGGATTTTGATATTTGTTTTCTTCGCCCTGGCCTTCTCTGTCTCCTTCTCGTCGTCGTTGACCACACTCCCCTTCCGCGAGGATTCCTGGTCGAGTCCGGTCAGCGGTGGACTGGGAGGCGCATGGTGGTTCTCGGTGCGGTGGTTTGTCTTCTCGTCGCGTTCTGTCAAATCGGTTGGGTCTGGCGTGGGGATATTGGCCTTGCGGACATCTTCTTTGCTGTGGGCCTTGGAGAAGTTGGGATATGGCAGACTCGACCTCGATTCGAGGAACGAGGCAGTGCCCGACCGACTATCGAGGCCTGGCATGGAGGACCGGCGTAGGGAGGAACGGGCCGTATCGGAGTCACGACCCTTGGTTGATGGGCGGGTCAGGCCTTTCTTTGTTGTCGTCGTCTTCTTCCTATCGTCGCGGTTTAGTCTAACAGGAAACATGGCGGACTCGAAATTGTGTAGTGGATCCTTCGTTCCGCTAGTTCGAGGTCGTTTACCTCTCCCTTGGCACGAGGGGAATTTGGCTATTTTTGTCAACGCGCTTAAACCCTGCGGCTCTGACTGGTTTAGAGTCTTAGGATCAACGTATATGACCGTTTCGGATTTCGGGCATTTTGGAGAAGAATAAGCTCGCGCAGGTACAAGATGTACGAGATGGGGAAAAAAAGCGATGCGGTGAACAGACCGACAATCTCGGCCCCCGCTCAACTGACGTGGTTGAACTGCATGGAAGCCTGATATAGCCAGCTGAACCTCGGGGAACACAGCACCTAGTTGACGTCTACAAGGATGTATATAGTGCTTACAGGGCAATTATGGTACTTTATTCGGGGTATCTTGTACAATAGGGATTATTCTGATCCATGCAATCCATTCACAGCCTTGACGGGGGAAGTCTCAAGCACCCAATTGCCATCTTCCTCATGAGCAACTCCTCCACTATGAGCAGCCCTCATCATCTTGTCACTGGCAGCCGTCAAATCGCCCGTATTGTGATCCCAGATCCAACCTTCCTTGAGCCACATCCATGACAGGTACGCACGTAGCTCTTTATCTTGCGGCAAAACGCATTTCCACTCAGCCACAAATCCTACCTCCGTCGCACCGGTTCCCTGCCAGTCGGAGGCCTTGTCGCGCAATTCGTCGCGGCAGAAAATGCGCCAGCTGTCAAGGGAATAGGCTCCAACTCCAGGTAAATGCGCAATCTCCCAGGCAACTCGTAGGTCTTCTTCGTTGATGCATTCGTCGCGGCCAACATCCCGGCCGTCCAGTTTGCGCGGATAGTGAAGTTTGCGATATCTTTTGTTTTTATGTGGGGGGTTCGTGAGCCATGTTTTTGCGAGTGCAATGCACTTCCTTGCCCGCTGGTTTTGGAAGCCTAAACAACGGATCATCGACACAAATTCTGACTCGTCTGCTGCTGCGATGGCCTCAATTGTTGGGTAGCGGTCAAAGACCTTGAACAGCACTGGTAAGGCAACTCCGCCCCGTGTGCGATTCAGAAAAATGGTTGCAATGAGTAATCGGAAAGGGTCGTGTGCAAGCTGTTCTTGAATGAGCCCGAAAGATGGGACATTGATTGACGGGAATGGCAGACAGGATTCAGCATCGGCCAATACCTTTGGAAAATAAGGAGACAGCTTTGCGGATTTGACTCGGGGGGCTTTGTTCGACTCTGGGATGAGTAAGGATGTACCTTTCACAGGAGTTCGGGGATTCTCGTTCGTGGACAGTGGGACACAAGGGGGGCTCTTCGGGGGAAATGATATGACAGGAAGTATTGGTGTTAGATCAGGCTCGTCCCAATCAAAATCACTGGGAGCATCACTCAAAGAAGAATCTGACAAGAAATCTGGAGACAACTTGAACTCCACGAGAAGTTGCCAGGCTTCACGGGGAATAGACATATTGTACAGCGAAGTGGGAGTTTCCAGTTCGCTTTCAGGAGTTGTGGCCTGTAAGAAATACTTGGACTTAACCTCATCACCAGCAGTCACGCCTGGCAAATCATTGGTCTTCAAAAATCCAAGTCCCACAGATTTGGGTCAGTGGGTAGCGGAGGATGAGCAGGGCTCCGTCCTTCGCTGGGATTCTGTTGAGTGTTTGGTTGCCGGATGGGCGAAGTCATTTGCTGGACTGGGTGTTCAGCGGAGATATCGGGTTGGTGTCCACTCAAACGGAGGCGGCTTTCAAGCCTACGCTGTTTTCTCCGAACGCGCTTCCTTTTGTTTTTCTCTTTGTTCGATTTCTTCGATTTGGCAGGTTCAGAAGGAGGAGGTATGGAAACAGAATGCTTGAATGCACCTGGCGAAATGTCATGAGAAAGTAGGTTACGCGAATCATCCTCACCGCTCCCGTCTGATTTGACTCCGCCCTTATCATGGCTATGCTGTCGTGCACTGGCAGAGTCACGCTTCTTGTGCGTCTTCGGCTCCTTTTCTTTAGGAACTTCTTCAGTGTTAGAAATCTCCACGTAGTCCATCGCCATCGCGGCGTCAGGAGTAGTCCTGGCGGTCTCCGAGTGTCGGACCTTCTTGGTCCCAGCGTCATTGTGAGCATGCTGTGTTGCGCTTTCAGAGTGGCGCCTCTTGCGTTTCTTTGGCCCAGTGAACCCAGCGTCACCTTTGGCGCCAGAGAGATCCAAGATGCTCGCGGCCTTACTATGACCTTGGCGCGTTGCACGTTCTGAGGAGTGACGCCTCTTGTGTTTCTTCGGATCCAGGATATCATCCTTTTGCTCAGAGATTTTCAAGAGTGCCGTTGCTCTCACGGTCTGATCACGGCTGAGGCTTGATCGCTTCTTGTGTGAAGGTTTCGGAGGTTGTTTTTCTTCATCATCGATTTCATCACCAAAGGCAGAACCAGCATCATCTGCCGCTACGATATGACGCTCATCAAGATAAGTCTTTCGCACGAACTCCAGCAAGGCATCAACAGATCCATTGTTCATTGTGGCTGCGAAAGCCACATTTCGTACCTGGTCGGTGAATTGGCGCCTGGCTGAACGTAGGATAGGCTGAACCTCCGTAGTCATAAAAGCGTGGGAAGCAATGAATTGCAGCACCGTCATCTGCTTGTCTGGACTCACCAAGGCGAAGATCTTCTCTTCGGGCGACTCCTTGGTTTCTTTAGCTGGAGTCTGATTGAGGGCTTGTTCGGGCCCCTGTATGGTTTTGTCTAGGCCCATGCCATCTGTAGAGTCTTCGTTGGGGACCTTGCTGGAATCTTTGCGAGCGACTTTCTTGGACTCTTTCTTGGGGACTTTCTGAGATTCTTTCTTGGCGTCTTTACCAAAGTCCGTCATTGCCAGAGTGCTTTTGATTTTCGGGAAGTCCTTTGACTTCGGCTTTGTAACCTCGGAGATGGAGGTGGTGGCAGTGACAGGTGTCGGTGAGGGAGTAGGAAAATGCGAAGACTTGGTTTCGGTGCTTCGAGCACGGCGAGGAGAAAGAGCCAGCGAGTCGTGCAAGCGGTCATCCCCAAAAAGACTAGGCATAGTGGAAGCATCCATAGCTTCGCCTTCCGCACGGGAACCTTCGAGGCTTGCTTCTTCGGAGAGGATGGTGTCGATGGTTCGGTCGAAGAGCTCGTCGTTAAAGGACTTGGACGGGGTGTTATGAAGCGAGGGAGAGGGAACAACGACAGAGATATTGCTCAACCTGGCCATTTTGGGATAAGAAGAATGCCGAGTCCAGATTCGAGATATTTGTCTAAGATGGGAAGCTGTCGAGGTTCGGAGATATATCGCTGTGGTAGTGGTTGGTTTATTGGAATTGTGCAATCAAACCGGTCAAAGGAAGTTTTGATGTGTAGGAGAAGAGTTTCAGCAACTTGCAAGGCACTTGAGACCAAATGCGCGGCTTTTTCTTTTTTCCTTTTTTTTTGAAATGTCGGAAGCTGTTTGTCAAATGCGGAGACGCGGGGATTGAGTTTAGGTAGGGACGCGACGTGAGCTACTGGAAGACAGATTGATACTGAGATAAACGAGGGACAGATACAGACCAGACACAGCTCACGTAGCATTCAACAAAAAATTAGGAAAGGAAAGAAAGGAGGGAATAATGAGAAATTGTAGATGTATCGTTAAAGAAAGGCAAGCTACTGAGAGCACAGGCCTCCCGATCAACAAATCTATAAGTTGACGCTGGAGACATTCCACGCTGCAGTTTTTTATGAAGTTGATGGATCCTGATGGATAATATTGACCGCTTTTTTCTATTTCTCGTGATTATTCTTAATCCATATATACATCACATGGTATATACATGGCAATCTATAATCAACATATACAGTGTACAGCAGAAAACCGTCTAAACAGAGTATCCAGCCGAGTTAAGCTGTCTCGGCTCACCAGCCGCATCAAATGTACCATTAGGCAAGACGCGGATGAGTTGAGCAGTGCTCTGACCGGGAGCAACCCAAGTGACATTGTGTCCTCGAGCCGCCATAAAGGCCACCGTATCGTTGTTATAAGCGTACTCGAAGCTGACCTGATTGGGCACCAGTTGATCATGCAAGCGAGGCTGGGCCAAAGATTGGGCAGCCGAGAGGCCTTGATCGATGGAGTGGATGATGTTCTGCACGGTGGCAGTGATGATGCGGCTGCCTCCTGCGGATCCGGCAATCAAGAAAAGACTGCCATCAGGGCGAGTGACTATCGCGGGTGTGATGGAAGAAAGGGGACGTTTCCCGGGTCGCACATAGTTTGCGACAGATGGGATATATCCAAACTGGTTTGATGAGCCGGGGATGGAAAAGTCTATATAGGATTAGCCGAGTTCATTCTTTTAATCGTTGGTTTTTGAATTACCGTTCATCTCGTCGTTCATAATAATGCCAGTTTCTGGGACCATGACATGACTGCCGAACAAGAGGTTGATTGTTGTAATGACTGAGATTGCGAGACCGGTGTGGTCTGCGGCGGCGATGTGAGAAGTTCCAGGTCTGAGGTGTGATGTTAGTCAACAGTCAGAGCATCATATGCGAAGTGTGGAACGTACGTATCCAGGCTTTCAATTCCAGCCGGGTCATAAGCAGACACATTCTGGGTTCGAACATCCGAAATTCTTGACCTAATATCGTCGATCGTAGACTGGTCAAGCATCTCCGTTTCGTATTCGGCCATACCATCAACAAACAAGGGATCGCCCAATTTAGATCTCTGCATATTTTGTTAGTGACATGCAACCGCTCAAGAGAGGAAAACAAGACAGCCTACCTCTCCATATCCAAATCGCATCGCCTCATCCATCCGATGAGTGCTCAAGTGAACATCCTCTTCAGTCGCGAAGAAATCCTTATATGTCCCCAGAATCTTCAGGATACTCATAGCGACAATACCACTAGACGGGGCAGAGGTACTGGTAACCTTATACCCACGGTAGTCAATCTGTGAGATATTCCGAATAGCAACAGTATAATTGCTCAAATCATCCAGCGTCATTGTCCCATTCTCACTCTGCAACGCATTGATCATAGTCTCGGCAATAGATCCTGTGTAAAATGCATCCGGACCACGCTCTGCAATCGCCTCGAGAGTATCCGCATACCTGCGACGAGTAATTGTATCACCGAGTCCGAGTCTGGTTCCATTTGGAGCGAAGTCAATTGCCCATGTCGGGTTTTTGGATAAGAAGTCTTCTCCATTGCCGACGGCGGACTTCATATATTTGACCAGGTCTGCTGTAACGGGGAATCCTTCGCGAGCAGTGCGGATAGCGGGTTGCAGGACTGTCGACCACGGAAGGGAACCGTATTTCTTGTGGAGGTACTCGAGGCCTCGGACTTCACCTGGTACTCCACTAATAGAGTTGTTAGCGTCACTCATATTCACACTCAGACTTGTGTTCTTACCTGGCTAGTCCGCCATATATAGACGCGTCCTCATTATTTTTATACATGTCCTCAAAAGCCGCCGCCGGAGCTGTCTCTCGGAAATCGATAAACTCATAGGTGCCATTTGGTGACTTCACGAGCATGAAACCACCTCCGCCAATTCCACTATGGTACATTCCTGCAGCCGTTAGCTATGCCTTTCTGCGAACGGCTATTTGGCTGTCCTGACTCACCAATAACGCCGATACAGAACTCAGTTGCAACCAACTGCCAAATTTATCAGTAATAGTCCACCGGGTCCACATTGGCTCTCGGCCCGAATACACCCACAGCATCAGCAGCATTTCCTCCCATCTTCAGAATATCAGTTCCATGCTCCGAACATATTGAGCTCTCGCTAGCAACAGCTCCCAGCTTCCCAGGAGCGATATGGCCATGGGATCCATGATCTTGTTCGGAAAACTCCAATGGAGATGTGGATGCTCTAGGTAAATGCGTTACAACCAAAAGCAGCGACAGAATCGCCAAAAGGCCAAGTCTCATCGGCTGCAGCATGGTTTCAAGGACCTTCGACCGATTTCTCCGCTGAATGGGATGCTGCGCAATATTTATTGTTGCAGACGTGGCTGGCGAGACCAGCAAAGGCTACGACGACATATTATAAATATATAAGTTTCTTTGAGAGTGAGGGGAACCGCAGCTTCGAGAGGGGAAAAGTGAGTTATTTACCTGTTTCTCCACATCTTGCCCGCTGATCTCCCAGGGGTGTTGCATGTCAGTCTCGGAGGATATCCTGATTTGTTCAAGCGCTTTCGTGTTGAATCGGCGATTGTTCCAAATCAAGCTGCTAATACAAGAGCTACAGGATCAAAGGAGTGAACATTTGATTAAATCGGCACGACCTTCTATAAAGTTTGGCGGTCAAGGGGCGATATCTACTCAACGTGACCCCGCCGATAAGGGACGCTAGAGCCTCAGATGGTCAACTCGTTTGATAGTTAATAACTTAATACCCAACGCCGTGTCACCTCTTATCTTTGCTTAAATTCTACATACTATCGCGCTTGCTTCCGGCATATGGAATATAATCGGCTTCTCCGGGGTTTTTTTTGTCGGTTTTCACCTTTACTAACTCGCGGAATGGAACATTCAATGTTCCCCGTAATCCTCGAAACAGATAGGGAAGTTACATTGGTAAAACTATTAATCATCGCCCTGGGCCGCCTTTCCAATCCACGCGATAGTATCATTCCACTCCTGAGGAATCTCGTCCAGCGGTTCCAAAGTGGCCATGACCAGCCGACGGCCCCAGTCACGCACGTACCAACGATTACACATAAGACCCATAGCGAGACCATAATGAAGAAATAAAATGCGAGCCATCCACTCGCCGTTTTGAAGTAGTGAGCAAAATTCGTCGCTGAGGAACAGGGGCCATGCAATAACACCGCCCTGCGCTCCAATTTTTGGCCATGGCTCGATGGCCTGATACAGAAGCTGCCATGTGCCTCGATAGGTATCTTTTTTCGAGTCTTCTTTCGTATCAATGGTGGATAGTAGTTGGTTGAGCGATGCGACAAGGTTTCTGGTATGAGTGTCAGCTACTTACTCCCCACAGTCTGCGTACGCTTGAAACATACCCGTGAAGACGGAAGAGTTTCTTGTTATCTTCTTCAGGGGCACTGCCACTGTGCTGCGTTAGTTTGAATGATTCACCGAGCAAACTCATGAAAAGAACGTCATACTGGGAATGTTCTCCGGCCTCAAGACTTTCCTGTGTTTCAGGTACACACAACCACCCTTCCAGCTGGCTATCACCTCCAGCTTCGTGAATTCGGGAGAAGATCATAGCTGGCCCAGATATCAAGTTTCGAACTTCGAGCACCACCGAGACAGGATCCGGTGGTTGACTGTCGATGGATATGGCTTTGAGTCCCATGGCGAGGATAAGAATAAAGATGGAAGCCACGAACGCTGGCTCATAATCTGGCGGAGAGAGGTCTGAAATAACTTTACCCAATCCAGAGCATGCTTGGCCCTGGTAGTTTAGGGCAGTATCCAGCCATGAAGCTCGGTTCTCATCTTCCACAGAAGCAAGATGTAAAGCCGAGAGTGCAAGAAGGCTGTCGAGGAGGTATGGGAATGAAGATGCCATGCGAGGGATGCTCATTGACAGGTGGTAAGCGGAGAGACCATCCTGAGATAGAGTGTGATATGTTGACGTGAGATATTGATGAAACAACCTTGTCTCCAGCATACGTGTTGGCAACGGGCGATCCACCGCCGGCGTTGTAACATAGCTATCTGTTCCATCTGGGGCAACGGATGGTTGAGGACTGTCCCCGTCACTGCTGGACGGGGGATAGCTGCACTCCAGTTTGCGCTTTCTGCACAAAGTGCATTTTGGAACGCGTTCATCGCACTGTAGATGATGTCAGACTTGAGACTCAGTGGATAGACAACAGGGCCAGATATCAAAGGATACAGTTGCGTTATAGCGGGCAGTTGTGGGACTAGTTGACATTGGAGAGCAAGTCCATTGCTGGAACCGACCTTAACATGCCTCCTTTTACATTCCAAGCACCCCTTCCTGGATTTTGTGTGACTCCGACGCAATGGCATTGATGGCTGCCATTCAGAGGGCCAAAGGTAATCCGAATATCGAACTGATGAAGAAAAGCCAGGCCAAACCCACGCTGCCGACCTCGGCCCTTTTCTCTGGGGGATCTGCCTACATATGATCTCGTGTGATTGGCGCGGAGAGCCTCGACGCTTATGTAACAAGTGCGCTAACCCAATCCGGAAAAAGACCAAAAGAGCAAAGAACAACACAGAGGAAAATGTCGGGAGAAACTGCCTGGGGGAAGATCTCATTGGGACTGAGCTGGCACTAATTATCAGGTTTGTCTCCAGGTTGGAGAAGGCTGCTTACTTGAAACTAGATCGCCGGTCCGCCTTATGGCTTCCCCTATTCGACACTCAAAACCCCAAATTTTGGAGTTACTTGCAAAGACCCAATTTTTCTCTTATGTAAAGAAGTATTGGATCTGTATACTAGCTTACTAGTCGAAATTAAGTAGTTTGGTTGGAATTTTGCCTTAATCTGTGGGGAAACCGTTGGTTCCAATCTTCTGACCAAGCTTTATTCCGACGACTACAGACAAGCTCGGCCAATAAAGGCAAACTGTTATACCCAATCGAACCAATGGAAGAAGGCTAATAGACAGTGCTGATGAACCAAGGTTAAATTTGTACGGGTTGGTGTAAAAATATCCAAATTTTCGGTCAGCATTACGAACTATAATTGCTACGTGAAGTTTGAGCCTGTTAGTCGATAGAATTTGAGATCTATCAAAACTCCTTCCTAACGCCCGTCATTTCCCCCTTTTCATCTGATGCCTTAACAATATGCCACAGGTATTAGAAGCACAGGCTAACACGACAGCCCAAGGGATCGCAATTGCACTTATTGTCCTTGATGGCCTGTTGGGTTCTGCGCTCTTCATACTTTTTGCTAGTCTGATGCTTCGCCAAAACAAAGTAAATCGGAGGCTTATTCCACTATGGTCAATCATATGTGGGCTCTGAGCATTGTCATTGTGAGTTGTGTCCTCTTCCGTCAATTCAATTTCAACCCACACCTGGGCAAAAATCTCAACGCTGACTTCTCTGGTGCCTCCGACAGGTATTACATATTCTTCACGGCGCAATCTGCAGGGACTCGAGAAACTGCTGTAAGCGTATTTGGAGCTGAATACGTCCGTTTTGGGACAGCATGTTACGTGGTCGCTGTGGTTTTCGAAAACATTGCCTGTGATCTCGCTTTTTGCGTATTGTATGACCTCACTCATCTCAACTTGAATCTTGGCGCCGATAGGAAAAGCAAACGCGCGCCTGCCAAATTGCGGATCTTACACTGGATATGCTTGGGGTTTCTTGTTGCCATTTCCTTCGGTGATTTCCTCACCTATATCCTAGGGACCAACCAGTCGAAAATGGGGTACACTGCAGCTTGTGCATCTGGGCACCAGAGTAGACCTCATTTCTCCGGAATTTGCCACGAAATTATACAAATAATTCGGTCCACACACTGGAGTCGGCTCGGAGAAGCGCGGAGATGAGCACGAATAGCGGGGAATTATAGTGGGGAGTTCGAACCTGCCCACTTATAAAACGAAATGGCATAGCCCAGTTTGTTTCTGAGTATCAAGCGTTTGCTGTTCAAAATGGCCGGAGTACCCAATATGTTTACCAACTATATCGCCTATTTGGAGCCTAGTGGCCCCCGCATCGGCCATCTCGACTTTGACACCTCGATCATCACTCCACTGTCCTTCAAATCCGGCACACCATTGACCAATCTCTATCAAGTCATCACGGCTGGCGAAAAGGGAATCACGGCCTCCGGAACACAACCTTTGCCTCTTTCGAGTGTGAAGCATCTGCCTCCAATTTCAGGGCGGGACATTCTCGCTGTTGGGAAGAACTACGTGGAACATGCGCGCGAGTTTAACTCCTCGGGCTACGATGCTAGCGACAAGGTTGACCAGCCGACACACCCCGTAATTTTCACGAAGCGTGCGACCTCTATCATCGGTCCTGAAGACCCTATTTTGCTCCATTCAAATTTCACCAGTACAGCCGACTATGAGGGGGAGATCGGGGTCATCGTTGGCAAGTCGGGCTTCCACATCTCGGAGCAAAACGCGTTGGACCACGTCTGGGGTTATACTATTGTGAATGACATGACTGCACGAGAGCGACAGCGCGACCACAAGCAATTTTTCCTCGGCAAATCACCCGATACTTTCTGCCCGATTGGCCCTGTCGCTGTGCCTAAGGAAAGCCTTCCAGAGAACCTGACAATACAGACTTTTGTCAACCAAGAAAAGCGTCAAGAGGCCACTCTCGGTGATTTGATCTTCAGCATACCTAAGCTTATTGCTACCATCAGCGCCGGCCAGACATTACAAGTCGGCGACGTTATCGCTACTGGTACTCCTGCGGGCGTTGGCTTCGGTTTTAGACCCATGAAGTTCCTGCAAACCGGAGATGAGATCAGCATATCCGTGACAGGTCTGGGAACCTTGAAGAATACGATTGCGGCTTCCGATGCGGTCAACACCACCTCCGAGCGCGCTGAATCCCACATCCCCATTGCGAACCAGAAGGCGCCCGCCAACTCGGGATTAGCCAACATCAACGGCAAGAACCTTTTCTACCAACAACTGGGTGTTGGAGATGGCCCTCCGATCTTCTTCATCCATGGACTGGGCGGATCCACCAATTACTTTTATCCCCTTGTTGCAAAGCTGCAGTCGACTCATTCCTTGCATCTTCTAGACCTGGAAGGACATGGCCTTTCCCCAACATCAGCGCTCAGTACCATCTCCATAGCCTCCTTTGCGCAGGATTTATACCACATGTCACAAGTTGCTGAAGTCAGCCAAGGCGCGACCGTAATCGCCCATTCAATGGGCTCTCTCGTGGCACTCAAACTTGCTCTGGAATATCCAGCCCTTGTGTCCAAGCTTATTCTGATGGGCCCTCCCCCAAGTCCGCTTCCCGAGACAGGAAGCCAAGGCTTCTACGCTCGAGCTGCTTTGGTCCGAAGGCAGGGGATGTTGGGGGTTGTGGATGCAATCGTTCAAGCCGGACTCTCAACCTACGTTCAGCAGACTAACCCCTTAGCTGTCGCTGCAGTGCGTATTTCACTTTTAAGTCAGGATGCTGAAGGATATGCGAAGGCTTGCGCGGCACTTGCTAGATCTGCCGGTGAGACGTTGGACGTCAAGAGCCTCCGTATTCCTGTTTCCTTTGTTACTGGCGAAGACGATGAAGTCAGCTCGCCAGCTCTCTGTCAAAAGTACTCAGAGGCTACGGGAGGTGGACATGTTGAGGTGCTCAGGAATGTTGGGCATTGGCATCTGTTTGAGGATGTAGATCAAACTGTAAAGGCGGTTTTGGCGCAGATTTAGGAGCCGTATTTCTTTTCTTTTTCGTTTTGGGAAACGGAAGGGCTTTGCATGTCCCTTCCATAGATTATAGAGCAAAAAGAAGCTTTTGTGCAAGCCCCACGGAAAAATCATAAATGCATAATCAATACCCCGCAAAAGTAGGCGCGGGAAGTGCCGAAAAGGACGAGAAATCCGCCGGCATTTCTGAATAGCCTTGTATATTAAAAGGGAATTATACATTCCATAGGGACCAATGTAGCACAGTGCTCCAGATCCAGACTAATGAGATGAATGATTTCTATTACGTGGAATCTACCAAGATATCTGAAAGGGCCATCGAAATTATTCAATTAAGTTCAACGTAACTTATACGCTGCCTTTTATGTAAATCTGTAGAAAATAACTATTTCCTGCAAATCAAAGCGCCAAATCCATGCTCTCTCAACTCATTGAATCGGTCCCCCAATCAAAACTCCACCTGGAACCGCTTACTAGTTCTTATGCGCTCACCATACAGCCAAAAAATGACAGGTAGCCCGCAAAGTGCCAATGCAATAAATCCAAGTAGCGAGTTTCCCCACCCAAGTCCAAGTGCTTGGTACATTTTAGGACCGGCGAGGGGGAGCATTGCGCCGGCCAGTGAGCGGAAAACCGTATTAGCAGCCATGGCGGAGGCAGCGTAGATCGTGAATGCGTCTACCAAGTAGGTACTGACAGTCATCTGGAAGCAAGATTATCAGTCAGCGACTCAGCAGAAAAGAAACCCCTGGAGTGAAGGCAACATACGAAGGAAACCAGCATGCCGACACCAAGTAACGAAGTCCCAATAATGGGCACAATCCAGTGGGCATGATAATACGCCGACCAGCCATACATAAACAGTGAAGCCGGGATAAACAGGGATCCGGGAATCATTGGTGGAAGACGGTATTCCGGTTTCCTGACTCCGTTCTTGGCAGATAGATAATTTAGTAGACGGTCAGAGGTGGCTCCTAGAATCGCGAGTCCCAAGATTGACCCAATGCCAATACCGAGGTATGAGAGGCCGACTATGCCCTGGGAAAAGCCGTAGTTCTCTTCGAAGACTGGAGTGATGGTTGTGAATAGCAGATATAGATATCCGTATATCACGCCAACGTAGAGGGAGAGGAGGAATACAATTGGGGAGAGGAAGAGCATTTTGGTTGGGCGGACGATTGAGAAGAGGAATAGGTCTCGTGGTGTGCGGCCGCTGTCAAGGGCTGAGCGTAGGTTCATGTTTCCTGTTTCTTTCTGGAGTTTCTTTGTTTTTCGGGCTAGGAGCGTTGGTGCGTAAGACTCGCGGATGGTGAATATTGAGGTGAATGAGATGGCGCCGCTCTAGAGATGAAGTCAATATCAACTATCCTCCGTTTCTTTTGTGTCAATTATCGCTGTCTCAACTTACAGCCATAGCCAAAACCCAGAAAGTCCACCTCCAACCCTTAGCCTGCGACAAGAATGCTCCAGCTTCATGAATTTAGCAATCTATTCCCAGTAGGACTCCTCCTCTTAGTAGAGAAATCAAACATACCAATAGGTCCAATAACAGGCCCAATCAAAGGCCCAATAGCCCAAGCTGCCATAGCAGCACCCCTCTTCTCCTGCGGAAAAATATCGGCAATAGATCCAGCACCAATAGTCAGCGGACAACTACCAGCAAACCCAGCGAAGAACCGGAACACAACGAGGCTGCCAATATCCGGCGCAACGGCGCAAGCAATCGTCCAAATCACATAGAGAATATTGCAGCCATGATAGAGGTATTGTCGACCGTACATCTCTGACAGAGGTGCCAGTAGCAGAGGCCCGAAACAATATCCAAGTAGGTATACAGAGACAACGAAGGATGAGAGCTCGGTGCTGGTTACTCCGAAGTCTTTGACTAGTCGTGGGACGCCGGGTGCGAACATAGAAGAGCCGAGAGGCCTATTGGGCGTATATTTAGCAGGTATATACGATCTGAATTGGAGGGTGCCGTACGTGAGTAGGGTGATCAGGGCAATTGAACATGTAGCTCCGAGTTTCCTTTTTGATGTCCAGTTGAGTGGGTTCTCAGGATCGTCTGGTCCATCCCAGGTGACAATGTTCGGGTCGACATCTGCTTTCTCTTCGTTGTTGGGTTGTGCGGGACCACTCTCGAGATCGGAGTCTCGTTTTGTTTGGTCGAGTACGATATCCTTTTCATCGTCTGTTCGGTGAATTTCCCGAGAACTCGCTCTTGGCGTCGATCCTTCGACGGAGGGGGTGTCTGCCCGACATATTTAGATTTTGCGTTTGTTTGCTTTTGCGCTGATCCTTGTGCCCAGACACGGATGTTTGATATTCTGGAAGAAAGACTTACTCGCCCCGCTCATGACGCAGGAAGCGTCGCTGTCACGATAATCGAATTCGATCGACACTTTACAAACTGTTCTTCTGCTTCACTTGGTCTGCTTTTGGTATCGGGCACTTAACATATGCTTAGATCTAGTCTGGCGGACAGGGAGATGTTGAATCTTCACATAACAGAAGAAAAGTAAGGGAGGCGGAGAATTATATAAGAAGAGGGGGATTAAAAATCGAAAGCAAAGGAATCCTCAAATTGAACTGCGTTAGCTTCGGAGTTTAGCCCGAACGCCGGTGCATGCATAATTCCGGCGTATTCATGGGATAATTTTGCCCGGGACCTATGATTTTCAGCCTAACGGGGTGTCCACTAGGTCTCTTTGCTATTAAAGTACATTTAGAGGATAGACAAGGATATTGTTGGTAAGCTACAGTCTCATATCATCCAATACACAATACTTAATCAATATGAGACCACCAGTTCTCTACCGGTACACATAAAGGGGCGGGGGAGAACAACATGCTCGATCCCGGTTAGGGGGCTCGTTCTCAGAGGCCCGAGCCTCGCACAATTTTAATGCCATGAGATAGGTTGTTTTTGATGATATCGTCTAACGACTCAGAGATCACCCTTTTGACATGTACAGATGTCTTTTCTAGTCTCCATAATCTCCATAAATGTGGAGAGAGCTAAGGCGGTCCTTATCCCCGCAACCGGCATTTGGCTAACGGCAGGTTCCGGTGCGAGAGTATACAAGCTGCATAACAATAATGACGTCCAAACCTCGTGGCTACCTAGTTACCTCTTGGCCCTGCGGGTAAGACAGCCAATGCCACAATTTCAAGCCTCAAACTTTCTTATTTCCGTGTGATTGGCGGGGTGGTTTGATCTCGGCACAGAAATGCCGAGGCTGTGTTTTGCTGGTGCTTTGAGCTAGGATTACAGGCTTGGAGCCAGTATTCCAAACACGATCTCCGAATGTTTCGGCATTGTTCTAGAATGTTGTATGATGCGATAATCAGACGACAACTCATATACCATTACAACCCCGAAAGAGAAGCGCCATGGCTATCATTACAACCACTAAACGCATCATTCGTAAACTTGTCAAAAACACCCAAATCTAAGTCCAAGTCCAAGTCCCGGATCTCATTCCACGTCGATGGATCATGGCTAAACTCCTGTCCAGCTGTCGTAGTCGCAGTCTCCAAGCTCCGAGCAATACTCACCAACGGATGAGCAGGTTGATCGATCACCGGTGATAAACGGAGTACCTGGACCAGTCGATGGAGATAACCGGGGATATCCTCGTCGTGCATATCACACGCCAGGGGTGTCTGATGACGCGACACCCTCACCAAGCCGACGCAAGCAAATGCGACCATCGTTCCAATGCATGGTGGGAGCATCTCTAGCCATGGACTTTTGTTGTTGTCGTCCACGTCCACTATACAGCGGATTATTGCAAAAGCGCTTCGTATCGCGCCGTTTACGAAGGTATTCACGTTTGTATCAGATTCAGTAGGAACTTTTGTGTCGTGCGACTGTGACTGCGACCCTCGGAAAACGTGCGAAAAGAGGTATAATTTCGCAGAATAATAATGAAGATCGAAGACGCGACGCGAGAATCCTGTCGGCGAATTCGTGAAGGACAGCATACCGAGCCACTTCTCGCGCCATCGATCATAGGCAATATTGAACCGAGCGAGCTCATCCGGTCGTTGTGCAACAACGTGACATTCGATATCCTCGCCGAACAGGTCGAAGACACGGCTGCTGATGGACCACAATTCCACCAGGCTGATCATCGTCAGGTCAGACGGGGTGTTGAAGTAGCTCTGTAGGAAATTGCGTGGTCGTCGTAGTGATTGGAAATCTCGTGTTAGGGGCGGTCGACCGTGGATGAGGGAGCAGTGATGGTCGCATATATAGACGAGCCAGTAGAGTCTGGTGCGGTTGTAACAGGCTCCTTTTGTATGTGGTATTTTAGTGATGCATCTGTGTAGATCTAGTTCGGTGGCTATGCGGACGGCCTTTTGTGTATGCGCATTAGAAGTGGACATCAGTATCTGGGATTGTGGGGTACTCACCTAGACTATTCAGCGCGGTGGATACTTCGTTGAGCCATAGAGCTCCAATGCACAGAGCGCGGATATCGTCGAATGAGTGATTATTTGAGAACGTTATCGATGCTTAACGGCTGCTGCCATAGAGCGGCATTCCCAGCAGTAATTCTAGGAGGCTGGTTCGTGCTTTGAATGATGGACTGCTCGAGTCTGCTCATCCGGCCTTCCATTTTCTCCTTCCATCTAATAACCTCCATTAGAATATCCAGATATAAGGAGATATCGGGAGCACATACGAAACATCATTTTCCAATAGCATCTGCAGACTCTATTGACAGTACATGCCAGCCCACGAGATTTGCAGCGATTGCAAGGGGGTTTATCGTTATTCATATGCCATTTTATCTGAGATAGTTAGCCAAGGACTCTGCATATTGCAATAATTGAATGGTTCTCACCTTCAGCTTGCGGCACAGAACACATGCCGTGATCTTTCGCGAGATGACAGGAATCTTCCGGTCCCCAAATGAGTCACGCAGACTCATTGCTGCGGAGGGTGACATGATTGATGCAATTCAGCAGAAGATGCAATCAGAGGTAGAAGCAGGACAGAGGCAAAATCGAACTTGAGGCCCTACCGCGGTCTTCTTGCCGTCGCCTCGTGGCGAGGACTGGCCAATCAGATGTATTCAGATTGGAGTGAGAAGTGATATACCTATTCAAAGGCTTACTCTGCTTGTGAATGAGAAACGGTCATTGCTTTAAGTGTCTTAGAATAATAAGATCTAATTTTGGATATATATCATGGTATCATCCACGCTCAATGAAATAGTTACAACAGAGGTAGTCAAAGTAGGTCATTTCTCTGCGCGGCAGAGAACGAACCATACTCTGACCAATATAAAGAGACATGACTTTCCGACCCATGCGGGTATACTGTGCAATGGAAAGCCAGCCTAAAAGATCATTCGACCCTTGTTCTGCTTCACATTGACATTGTAGTTCTTCCAAACCATGATGCAAGGGAAGGCTAGAACTAGAATGCAAGTCGATGCAATGCAGTTCATGCGCTGGGCATAGCCCCAGGTATACGCAACGGCAGTATGGAGGGTTGAACCCCAGGGGTAGGTTGTCTGAACATCGATACCATCGAAGTAGATTTGAGTGGCGTTGCCCTTCAAGTTGTCAGGCAATTGGGAAGCGAGAGTATCGACAAAGACGTTGTTATAGATGGCAGCACCGACGGCCAAACCGATCGCACCGCCAATGTTGGAGAACAGTCCAATCAGGGCCAGCATCATCGGGGTGCCCTCACGACCACCTGCCACCATGACAGCCATGTCTTCGCCAATCACCAGGGTACCTCCGGCGAAGGCAATGAAGATCTGGCACATGACGACGTAGCCGATACCGTGCTCTGAGCCTCGGAAGTAGATCATCAGACCAGATCCGAGGATCATGAGGGGTGCACCAAAGAACAGGCAGATGTACTTGAAACGAGCAGTCGCCCAGATGATAGCTCCGATGATGGGAGAGAAGAAGCAGGAGCCGACATTGTAGATCTGGAGCATATATCCTGCTTGGACTGCTGGGATGTTATAGGACATCAGGATAAAGTTGTAGAAGTACTGATCCCAAAGTTCGAAGCTGAAGAAGAGCACGGCGGCTAGAAGGCATGCGCCGAGAATTGTTGGACGCTTGATCAACTCATAGCGGATGAAGTGTGTTCGTGCACACCATTTCTCCCATGCAGCGAAGACAAAGAACATGCAGAATCCGATCACGATGAGAGCGATGAAGCTCGCGCTTGAATACTGGGAGCGTCCATACTGTGCCAGACTGAATGGCAGGAGGAACAAGACCCAGGCAATCATCAGTAGGAGAGCACCAACAACTATATATTAAACGTCAGCATCGATAATCGAAATGTGTTGCGAGGGTCCATACCATCAAACTCATGGAAGTAATGCAGGACGGACTGCATGGTAGTGCGACCACTGGGCTGGCGATGGAAGATGCCCTGCTTCCTTGCTTTCTTTTCATAAAACTTGAACACCACAGCCAGAGGCAAAAATACGAACGGCATCACAATGCAGAAAATACCATATCCCCACCGCCATCCGTACTTGACGTAGATCGAGTTTGCCGCTAGTGAACCAGTGAACGCAGTAACGATGAAAGGCGTCTGGATGAAGCCGAAAGCGAAAGCTCGGTTCCTCAGACCGGAGGTATCCGCAATAAAGATATCCAGGATCAGGTAGATGCAGTAGTACCCAATCCAGTAAAGCACGTACCCCGCTGCATATCCATTGGGGCCATTGCAGGCGGTTAAAATAATCATGCCGAGAAGATAGATACCCGTTGACACGACCAGAGCCTCTGCACGACCCCACAGATTTAGAGTCTTACCCATCGGCAGCTTGAGAATGCCACCGACGATATTCGCCAGGATGTATGCTGTTGAAACCTGCGGTGCGGATTTGAAGCTTCCCATAACATAGTTAATCAAGAAGGTACTTATCGCCGAGTGGAACGCCAACATGAAAAAGCAGATCCAGATCCTGTAAATTGATCATCGTCAGATATCGTCGGTATGCCACGGAGACTTGATCCAACTCACCAAGCATAGATGCCGACCAACGCCGACCAGCTCCAGACGAGAGCCGCCGCCTCAGCCTTCTGCTGACCCAACTCCGCCCCCTCTGTGACCTGATCCGGGTGACGTACCAGCTCCTTTTCATCGTCGTTCACATCGCCTGTGTGGAAGCCGCCGGAGTTGGGTGGTGATTCGGTATCGGATTGCGACGCTTCTTGGCCGGCATCGAGGCCTGATTTCTCATGTGATCGATACGATTCGTCTTCGACTATCGTCCTGGCGATGGCACCGCCTTCATCGCGACCTCGAACTGTCTCGAGGACGCCCATTCTTCTGCAATCCCGTGAACCGAGTACGAGATGCTCAACCCGAATGCGATCCTCAGTTCGGATGCTGTGTGAGATTGGAGGGTATAGTGGGATGGAGGAAGAAGAAGAAGGAAGCATTGAGGGGCCCCAATGATCTGGAGGCCCGGGAGCTCACAGAAATTCCCGCAGCGCAACCCCAATTTTTTTCCTCGAAACGGAGGCTCCGAAAGATCAGATAATCTCAGAGCAGAAGACCCATAATTAGACCACAAAACCAATCAGAGGCCGTCGTGGCGGGAAGTGATCGCTCATTCGCCTCTTTGGCGGACCCACTCCGCAACCCTGATTGGCCACTGTCAGAACAGGTATAGCGGCCCCACCCATCCCAGAGTTGCAGTTTCGCTTTGGTGACCCTGGCCCGTTTGCGTCAACCTCAATATCACAGTGTTCACAGTGTGTTCTTCTACTTGCAAGTCATGGTGGCATCATTTGTCTCACTCCATTTCCCACTTACTACCCGGGCGCGGGGCTAGAACCTACCCCTTACGTCTCCACGCGGCACCCGTGCAACGGGACAAAAACAGCAGAGATGACATAGATCCTTTCAGCCAAGCAATCATAGCGAATCATGGTCTTGGATCCCGGCCGTCTTTCAACCTAATTGACTACGCAGTGGGGAAACAAGTCGGCAACTTTCGGCAGCTCCGTCCGCAATTTTGACTCTACAATCCTGTTATCTGATCCAAATCAGATAACCATCAACCAGAAATGTACCACTGATGACGTCGTGGATCCAAGCTTCGAAGGCCCTTGGCGTGCTCATGGGCTGGCTAGTCAAGCCTCTCCCGCCCGTTTCTGAGGGGTTTGTGGGACGCACAGACTGGGGGTACTAATTGTGGCCCAACCCAGGTGGAGCCCCTTCGGAATGTTATTTGGGGGCGCTTGAGGCGCTTCGCCCGGTCACCAACTTTCCATGCTAGGGTTGCTTTGATCCTTCCTACAGGCATTTGTCGGCTTTGCGATCGATGTCTATTTTCTATTGGCTTCAAGTTGTGTGAATCGTTGGACTATCGGAAGATCTTCTGCGGTTCTTGCTACAGGCGGGAAAACCTTGCAGTATGAATATCAATTTGAGGATGGGAAGGAAATTTTGGGATTTCTTACAATGATCATCGCCCCTGCAAACTGCCTTGGTGGGCCGATCTGCTTGATCAAGAGTGTTCCTGGCAATTGAACACTACATAGGCCACCGGAAGCACAGTTGCAGCATTGGAGTAGTCCTGAGGGGACAAATTCAATTCATCCGATCCACGCGTCTCCTATGCGCTCTATATGCCTCCCACCCACTACGATGCTAATCCCAACCCAACGCAACTCCCACTGCTCACCTGGGTGCATGGCACAGCCAGGAGATGGACTGCGATCTACGAAGAAGAATTGGTCTCATTTGCCGACCGAACACCATGCGCCATCCTCGCCCCATTGTTTCCAGCTAGCCTCGATGGTCCAAATGATTTGGATTCATATAAAAGCTGCACTTCCCCTCACACTTCCCCTCACTTCGATCTGATTTGGCACTTTTGTCCATCTTAGACGAGATTGCGCGGCGGTGGCCGGAAATTCGGACAGACCAAATCTTCACGGTTGGCTTGTCGGGTGGCGGTCAATTCGCTCACCGATTTCTTTACCTCTATCCCGAAAGACTGGCGGCTGTCAGTGTGGGGCACTAGGCAGAGTGACCATGTTAAATTTCCACAGAAATGGCCGGTCGGAGTAGCAGACACGGAGACCTTGTTTGACAGATCAGTCAGCCTAAATCGCACCCAACAAGTTGCCATTCAGCTAGTGCTTGGCTCGGAGGATAATCGGATACATGGCAGCAAGGACTTCTGGACCTGGCTACAGCAATATAGAAACAAAGCAGAGAACTAACAGGGACTAAAACCGTCCATAGTTTTTATGAGGGTTGGAACCCTCATCACACCAGCGCTGCAAATCAAAATGTTGTCTTCCCCGGCTCTTCTCAAGGAATTCATCTGCGTACAAACGGACACTGGCAAGAGATGTCAGGTCTAGATGGAGGAGCTCGACGTGGCCAGGCAAGAGGATATCAGACAAGGAGGGCCTCTTTGGCCTTCTTCAGGTCTCGGGCTGTAAGGAAAAGCTTTGCGCCAGTCGAAGCCAGAGCCTGGGCTGTCTCAACACCAATGCCGCCGGAGCAGCCAGTAATGAGAATTGTTTGGAGGAAAGGGCACCTGAGAGCTTCTCATCCTCGATGATCTGGAAAGCTGTTGGACGCGCGTCTCCAGGGCCAGCCGGTCACACGTGGGCAGCGGAATACTTGGAAGTCATATTTCTAATAGAACAGAATAGCTTTGGGCGATGAAGGTTGAGAAGAGCAATAGCAATGCACAAGTTTAACAAAAACAATGCAGCTAGGAAATGAATAACATGAGGGAGGTACGGTATATATAGTGTGCAAGTTGAGAAAATTACCGACTATTATTCCCGGTGTTAGTCTATAGCGGAGTTACTACGCAGTCAGGGTTACATCCAGTCAAGTTAAAATTCCCGGAGATAGGAGTATGAGACGAAGAAGGGGGGCGCTGATACTGTCCGACAAAAATAGGGTTCATCCGGCTTTTCGTCCGGATGCCAAACACAACCATATTTGGGCCACAAAGGCCCACTAAAATAGACAAGCTCATTTGCTCCCAAAATCTCTAATACTGACATTCTTTTCGGATGAAGGAAGTCCGGCCGGCACCTTAGGCTTAAATAAATCCCCTTTCCGCATCTAGTTTCCATTATTGAGCTAGTAGTTGCATTTCTCTGCGCTTTATACCTGGTACAGTAACTAGAGGCGACGAGCTCATTGAAAACTTTGCCTCTGCACAAAGCCGCTGACAAGCCTTGGAAGCGATAAGTTACCAATAGTTACAATATACATCATGGGTTTTACACCTGAGACACTTCCGGATCTAGGAGGCAGGGTATACTTGGTTACCGGGGGAAACACAGGAATGTAAGTTTTCCTCAGAAGCTCTCAGTACCTCACTTGTCACTGCCAGATCACTAACAAACACATCTCAGCGGGTTCCATACCGTCCTACAGCTGGCGGCTCATCATGCAAAAGTGTATTTGTGTTCTAGATCCGAAGAGAAGGGTAGAGCAGCAATGAAGGAGATCGAGGCCCTTTTGCCAGATGCCGAATTACATCTTCTGAAGATGGACATGACGAACCTTCAGAGTGTTGTTTCTGCGGCAAACGAATTCTGCAGGTCCGTTGAAACCGGATTATGGATTTAGAACACTCGGCTGACACATTTTAGACGAGAGAAATATCTCCATGGTCTTGTGAACAATGCAGGGATAATGGCAACTCCGTTCACAAAGACAGTGGATGGATATGAGTCACAATTTCAAGTGAGCTTTGTCGAACTGGAAATTCCAACAGCACCATGTACATTACTAACATATTTTAAATTTATAGACCAACTACCTTTCACATTGGCTCTTGACTTATTATCTACTGCCGACTATGGTCGAAACCGCCAACAATTCCGTCCGGGGCATCGTTCGAATTGTTAATGTTTCATCTAATGCGCATGAAAATGTGCCTCAGTTTGGTATTGATTTACAGGACGTTGACCAAGTCAATGGCGGTCCTATCTCTCGATATGGTTCTTCTAAGCTGGCTAGTATACTTCATACCAAGGAACTAGCCAGAAGATTCAGTATGCCTGAGGCTCGAGCAGCCTACTCGGGATTTCGTTCTGAGGGTAACACGGGTGGTGAGATTTGGGTGTCAAGTGTGCACCCCGGAATGGTGAAGACGTATGGTCTCCTTCCCATCAAAGAATTGCTTGATTATCTGTTCCCTAACGATTAGCAAAGAAATCTTCTTTCTCAAGCCAATGGCTCAATGGCTGTGATAATCATGGGCAAAATTCTTTCTGGCATCTCCAAGACCGGCCTCGTAGGCCTTACCCCAGAAGATGGGGCGCTTACACAATTATTTGCTGTGGCAAGCGAGGGCTTCACTCGCGAGATGAACGGCGCATATCTAATCCCGATCGCGAAAGTGGGAAAACCGAGCAAGAAGGCAGAAGACAAGCAGAAGGCTACGGATTTATGGGACTGGACAGAGAAGGAGATGAAAGCCAAAGAGTTAATCTAAGCCAACAAAACCGTGAAAAAACAGCTTGCGAGACCTGCAGCTGAGTGCCTTAAGAAAAATTTTCGATCGGGCGGAAAATGGGCTCTGGGGCTTTATAACCCTTGATCAATGTGATTGTTCCGTCGCCGATCCTGCGACCAGAAATCCCCACTATCAAGTATCAAGGATGTTCATGGTCTAGCGAGATTATTTCCGAAACAGTATCCTCTCCCGCGTGGGGGCCGCTGTCACTCTTGAACTCTCAACTAACGTTATCTACTGAATTTTGAAGTGGCTCTTTTGCCCCTAACATGTACCTTCAATTGAAATTCTAAATGCCAGACCTGAATAATCACACATACCGGACAGGTAGAAATAAGCTTGTCTTATTTCAAGCCCCTTCGGTGCTGGAAAACATCCGGGCTCTGGGGCTGATAGGGGCCATAATATGAGCCGCACCCTGGTCCGCCGAAACGCCAGCATGCCGTTGTTTCTGCCGCTCTAATGGACCCCAACGGCCCCAATCAACAAGCTAAACAACGCACCCGACAAATCATATGAGGTCACTAAAATCCCTAGTGTGACCCTAGGGCGACTAGATTTCCCCTGAGCTTCAGAAGTTGCAGCACATAAGAGAGCGATTGTCTACCATGGCAGAGCGGCAATTTCAATTTGAGATTTGCACCAGATAGCACCAAAGGGAGTCATCATGCCATGCAACGAAAATCCTCAAAGTGACACAATTCAGGTAGACCCCAACCAGTACGCCTTCAAGACCCGCAGGCTCCGGGTGGTCTGCATCGGCGCGGGTTTCTCTGGCCTCATCATGGCACATAAGCTCAAATACGAGCAACCACTTGATTTCGTGGACCTTGCAATCTACGAAAAGAACAGCGAAGTTGGCGGCACATGGCTCGAAAATGTGTATCCTGGAGTCGGATGCGATGTGCCTGCGCACAGCTACGTCTTTCCATTCGAGCCTAATCCATCCTGGTCAAAATGCTATGTGGGCGGTGAAGAGATTGAGAAATACATCATCGACACGGTGGAAAAGTATGGACTGAAAGACCAGATCGTGTTCAATACCAGAGTCGTGAAGTCCATCTGGAATGAAGACCGGGGGAAGTGGGCTCTCGAGCTCAAGCAAAACGACAAGACCATCATACAAGATGAAGCAGATATTTTGATTAATGCTGCTGGTATTCTCAACCGCTGGAAAATGCCAGATATCAGTGGTCTGGATCAGTTCTCTGGCAAGCTCGTGCACACGGCGGCATGGGACAAGTCCTACGACTGGTCTGGAAAGCGGGTTGCTGTTATTGGCAACGGTTCATCTGGACTCCAAGCTTTGCCTGCACTTCAACCAAAGGCCTCAAAGATCGTCAACTACATTCGCCATCCAACTTGGGTGTCTGTCAACCTATGTCCCGACATAACCAAGGACGGAATGGGAACCAACTTTGAGTACAGTGAGGAGGAAAAAGTGAAGTTTCGGGACGATCCTAGCGGCTTCTTGGAGTACAGGAAGAAGATTGAGAACTCGTATGTGAGCCTGTCAGTCTTAATACTCTATGTTGCTAATACTTCGAAGTCTGAACACCGTCTACCGACTGATGCTCTCCGGCTCGGACCACAACCGTATGTTATCCACTGGGGTCGAAGGACTCATGCGGCAGCGCCTGAGTGAGAACCCACATCTTATTGAGAAGCTGGTTCCAAAATACGAGATTGGATGTCGTCGACTTAGCCCTGGCGATGGATATCTCGAGGCAATGCAGCAGCCTAATGCAGAGTGGTGCTTTGAAGACATCCAGGAGATCACAAAAAGCGGGATTCGGACTGCGAATGACGAGCAGGAGTTTGATCTCATTGTCTGTGCAACCGGGTTTGACACAACCTTCATACCTGGATGGGAGTTAGTCGGTCGGGATGGTCGACGGCTCGACTGGGAATGGGAAAAAACACCTGAGGCGTATTTCTCCATTTGCGCAGGTGGAACTCCAAACTACTTCATGTTTGCAGGCCCAAACTGCCCCATTGGTCATGGAAGTGTGCCTCAAATGCTTGCATGGAGTGCTGATTACATGCTGAAATGGATCAAGAAGATTGCTCGTGAAGATATTAAGTGGGTTGTCCAAAATTTGATGTCATTCATGCCAAATTAACCTTTGAATAGATCAGTTGCAGTGAATGACTCCGTCGTTCGTGCCTATAACCGCCGTGCACAGGCCAACTTGAAAAACACCGTTTGGAGCAAGGGCTGCAATGCTTGGTATAACAACGAGCATACTGTCACTGCCATGTATCCTGGAAGTGTAATTCATTTCAAAGGCAAGTCACCCACAGAATTGAGAAAGAGATGTTTACACGGATACTGACTTGTGAATTTACAGAGGCTCTTGAGGATATTCGTGGAGAGGACTTTGATATCCGATATGCTACTTCCGATGCTTTCTCGTATCTCGGAAATGGTGAGCTTGAGTGGGAGAGAGCCGAGGCAGCTGACTTGTCATTTTACTTGGCTTTATAGAAGCTGCAGCCTAGAAGCAAGCTTTCAGGCTGTGAAGAACAGGGTGAATATATAGACAGCGCCTGCCGACAGCTGGGTTGATGTATAATGCGGACGGTCATGGTATGAGTTAGCTGGTTGAAGTATATGAACTTCACATGGAGCAAACAGAAGCATGCGGTGTATCTTTTAATGGAGGGATAAGTAAGATATCTATCGTTGCTAAAATGTGATTGGGAATTTATTTGACAGAGTAGCATCAGCAATTTGAGAAGTATATAAAGTTTTGCCAATATCCATCTTAGCCCGCTCAAATTCTGAACTTGTACTAAGTTTATTGCATTGAGTGAGATGTGATTTCTCAATACGAGGTAGAAGCTACCGACGTATGCCCTAACTTATGTGGTAGGTTGTAAGTAAACTAGATTGTTGTGCGTTTATTGGTCGTATGCAGCCCCTATGTCGCATATTCCAACTGAAGTGCTTCTCTGTTAACGTACTCGACGAGAAATCCGCAAGGAGATCGCGAGAAATCATACAGGTCTAGAAAGTAGGAATCAAGAAATTAACTCTTAGAGAACAACATCTGAAACTATGAAGTGAGACTGATTCTTGAAGGTCCAGGGGGAGAACGCCAGGCTGCGGCAAATAAGGTTGTGGCTGACGCCCAACAAACCCTGTTTCCATGGACGATCCGTGATCATGACTGAGCTACATGTACATACATGTATCTTCATGGGTCCAGTGCCGAATGAGCCATGCTCATAAGGCTCAGTCATGTCAGCAATAGGAACCCACGTCTGTCCCTGACAAATAGACTCGAGCACAGACGTGCAGTACGTAAATACGGCTCTGTTGGGCCCAACAAGTAAGATTACAGTACATAACCGATGTTCTTGGTAATCGCTCGAATAAGACAATTACCAAATGCTATAAAAATAGTTGTGTGCTTAATAACCCTTTTAAAGGATAAACTGAGGTGATAGATATAGGTGGATGAAGCCATTCACTTGCCTGCTTATACATGTAACTTATGCATAGCCCAGTTTACGTTCATAAACTATTGAGGTGAACGGAGTATTCGGTAAATGAGATTTGCAATGAAAGTATCCCGATTCGAGCACCGATCAGTTAGTTAAATGAGCGAAGGCGTGGTCTGTTATAAGGATCTGCATCACAAACACCCGATCAGTGGTCCGACCGAAAAATCCCGATTGAAAATGGCTTATCGACCCACAATGTCTCGTATTATGTGGGTATAGTAGCCCGTGTACGACTACAAAAATATTCAGCGATGTATCCAACCTTGGAAGTGTTCACTTAAGCGTTAGCTCGGCCACCGGCATTTAACCGGCATATGCAAGGGCCCATAACATTTCTGTCAAAACAACAAAAAGCAAGGGCCTGTTGTCGAGGAGATGAAGAACTTTCTGTATTTATAATGGCAACTTTGCGTTCTTCAGATGCTATGACTTAATCTTCAATAGCCTATGCAATAAGCGAGAGTCTCGATACGCGCATGGTCCCGGAGCTGAACAGATTTCTGCCGTACTGGGAAATTTAAGTTACCGGCCCAGGGTTCTGGGCCATGGCAACAAACCTAAAGTGGAGATCTTAGATCGGGGGCTGAGCTGGAACCATGGATCTGGCTCAGGGGCTTGTGGGATCTTAATAGAACCTTGGAATCTGCCGATGTGGGTAGGGATAGTCAGTTCTTCAGATCTTGGGTACTTCATTTTATCTCTCGCATGCACCTCTGACACTATGTACTCTTTGAGGTCAGCTTGTTTGCTGTTTCCACTCTTCTTGTCGGCTTTGGCGAAGCCAGCTGCAAGTGTCTCTTCAGTAGAGACCCGCGGCTTTTCAGACTTGATATCAAATCTGGAAAGCAGCTTGGAGGCCGTCGGCTACCTCGCACAAGGTATCACACAAGATGTAACTCTGTTAGTATCTGCACTGCGCGATGTCCAAGACGGCAAGATCGATCCTGTTACAACCCTCGAAGAAGCCCTGGGCTCCCTTGGAAACGTACGCAACGCAAGTGATGTTGGTCTCATCGGGGTCGCCATCGATGTCGTCACCAATGGCCTAGCCCCGAAGAATATCCTCGACCTCGTGAAAGGTCTGACAAACGAGCCTTTGAATTCGATGAACAACGACAACTCCGAGGAACCGTCAAGCCCTATATTCCCCAAGAAGGCTTCCGACGATGCACCGTACAGTCTGAGCGAAGAAGAGCTCCGCAAAACAATCTACATCCCCGATGAATTTCAATATGGCGCTAACGGCAAACGACCTGTCCTTCTCATCCCTGGCACGGCCAATGCAGCCGGTACCACATATTACTTCAACTACGAAAAGCTACTCTCCGAGAGTGATTTCGCCGACCCCGTCTGGATCAACATCCCCGGCAATACCCTCGCCGACATCCAGGTGACCGCGGAATATATCGCGTACGCGATCAACTACATTTCTGGTATCTCCCAAGACACCAAGATCGGAGTGATCGCCTGGTCGCAAGGTAGCATAGACGTCCAGTGGACACTCAAGTACTGGCCATCGACGCGGGACTCGGTGGATGATTTTTTGGTGATTAGCGGCGAGTTCCACGGCTCCCTTTCGGCGGAACCGTGCTTGGTGCAGAATCCTCTATGCACGCCTGCGATCAGGCAGCAAGGCTACGACTCCAATTTGATCAAGACGCTCCTCGCTGAAGATGGAGACTCGGCGTATGTACCGACGACGAGTGTGTACTCCGGTATTGATGAGCTTGTTGCCCCGCAGGTTGGTCCGAATGCGTCGGCGCGCTTGAAGGATGTGCGCGGAGTTGGCGTCACTAATACACAGATCCAGCTGGCCTGCCCGGGTTTGCCTGCTGGCAGTCTTTACACTCATGATCCCATGTTATTCAACCCGCTTGTTTATGCGCTTTTTGTTGATGCGCTGACACATGAGGGGCCGGCGGATCTGTCCCGGATTGACCTGGACACTGTGTGTAATCAGGTCCTCGCTCCAGGACTCGTGTTGACGGACCTGCTCGGCACAGAGGTGGAGGTATATGTATATAATGTTATTGACTTCATGTCTTTCGGATATATGGGATCCAGCGAAGAGCCGCCTATCAAGGACTATGCTCGCATATCCTCCTGATGGCTGGGTCGGGCTTTCTTATGTGTCTTATGTATATATTTATCATATTTGTTGAAAACATAATTACCATTCGTGCCTTCAAATACCATTCTTGATCGAGTGCCACGGCTTCCATAAATACGTTCAGCGGGTATTTCACACACCGTTAACCACTTTGAAAGACAGGGAAGACAAGAAAAGCAACGTAGTGAACGGTGAACGTAGGTAAAGACAAATGAAGAGGACATAGCTCTGATGCAGATTCTATACTCAGCGCTGTGTTAATTCCGGCTTCCAGAACCTGGGAGTATTGGTGATGTATACCATTCTGGTTCATTAGCCCGCGTAGCTCGAATGCTGTTACTAAAAGTAAAAGGCCAAAATTATAGATAGTGCAAATTTTCATTCCACACTTACAGCGTTTCTCACAATCCCAATTGTATCAGAAAGATACTACCTTTAACTGATGTGGTCCAACATTCAACAACCATGACTGCAGCCAGCTGTGGCTTTTCACGTAGTGGCCTAGTAAAAGAGTACCTGGCAAATACGATGTCACGTCCAATTGGACAGGAATCATTCGGAATAGTTTAAGTAGCTGATAAAGTGCTGTCCAGAGACTCGGGCTACAGACCACAATGTTGCTTGTGATCTCATACATAACCCCCTTCGAGGCTGGAATATGCACAAACGATCACAGTGCGTGGAGAACAAGACTTCCTGTCCGCTCAGTCACATTCTCTGTCCGGATGCACGACTAGCTGTCAATACACCCTTGATACCTAAGCGGCACTCTAAGATAGGTGTGAATCATTTAGGTGAGGATTCTGGAGGCCGAGGTGAGGGTATGTCCTAGTAACGGACAAGTCATCTGTTTCTGGGGACAATCGAGCGCCCCGGGAGCGTTGCCGGCGATCGGGTCCACCCGTATTGAGCACCCCAAGTGAGAGCCACTACTCGGTAATGCAGTACCACGCGAACGAACGAGAGGTAGAGCACTAAACCTAAGATAGTCGCACAAACATCGCGATCGACAAGGATATAGCCAGCCCATCTATGTTAGATGAGTGGTAACCTAGGACATTGGTTAGCCTAGAGATGACGAACAAAGAAACGGTGGATCATGACACCAGTTGTTTCGCAAAGCCCGAATCGCCAGTCTGTTCCAAGGTTAGGATCTCAATATCCCTAACGTCCTCCCTCATAAAAACAACCTCGAAAGAGCGGTGTGAGTGCATAGGTGCGCCCCCGGTTTATTTATCTCACCCTTGCTCCTAGCCGTAAACGATACGCATATCGCAACTTAACTTGGTTTACCATTTCTCCGCGGCCTTGTCCGAGCGACCACCCACAGAAAAGATGGCTTCGGTCTACAACAACAACACCACATCTCTTAACCAGAGCTTTCAGTATCAGAATTCCACTCACAGCTATACTGTCAAATGGTGCTCGCTAGGCAACCCTGCCTCCCCACCGCTTATTTTCATACATGGAACGCCCTGGTCCTCTAGACTCTGGGTGCCTTTTGCCCTATCTCTATCTCGGCAGTTCCACGTTTATCTTTTTGATAGGCCTGGCTTCGGAGTTTCTCCCCCTGAACGGAAATTACCCGGTACAACGACCAGCTCTAGTAAAGTCGAAGAGCTCGATGCGGATCTTGCCCGACAATCTGAGGTCTATGCTGCGCTTTTTAAGTCGTGGGAAAAAGAGTGGCTCAATCAGAAGGCCAACATTGTCGCTCACGATAATGCTGGCTTGATCAGCTTACGAGCGAACCTGCTCCATGACTGCCAATACGCGAGTCTTTGTCTCATCGATGTGGTTGCCATTGGACCGTTCGGTCAATCACTTTTCGAGGTTGTCGCGAATGACCCTCATCACTTTCGGCAACTCCCTGACATGGCGTTCGAGGGTATATTGGAGAGCTACATCCGCAATGCCGCATTTTATGAGATATCAAAAGAGATAATGCAGACCTTGAAGTCCCCTTGGATGAGAGAGGGTGGGAAAGCGGGCTTTATCCGAGAGCTATGCCAAGCTAATTCAAGATCCACGGAAGCAGTTGAAGCACGATATGGAGAAATTGGACGCAACATGCCAATCAAGATTATTTGGGGTGCGGAGGACAAGTGGATTCCGGTAGAAAGTGCTTGGAGACTAGGAGACGCACTAGAGGCCAAGGAGGTTGCGGTCATTGAGAAAGCAGGCCATCTTATTATGCTTGACCAACCAGGACAGTTCGGAGTTGAGTTGGGAAGGTGGTTAAATACCTTTGAGCTACGTTGAATGCAATTGTAACTTCGTCTCACTCTTTGACTTCTAGTTGGTTGACTTCACCGGTCTTGTAACCGGTGCGAGAGATTGAATATCCTATTATCCCGACACCTTACTATCCACTCTTAGCTTTACAATATAGGCTCCGCCCCGCCCTTTATTTGATAAACCCAAATATAAATTCCTTTATTTTCCCGATTCTCCATATAACAATTGGGTCAGGATATGGTGCGACAAACTTTAAGTCGATCCCCGTATGTATCTACGCTTATCCAATCTTCTTGACTGGGCTTTGTCGCACGGACGGTTCCACCAGAAGATGAGATTTGTTCGCTTTATGTGAGGTTACGGATCGATATTCACCTATAAGTGCCTGATGCCTCATTTGAGGTATTTTGGATGTACCCTCCAAATGGCGCGCTACATATTGAAGATCTTGCTCGTCATGGGCATGCTTCCATTGAAAAAGGGATCATGAGGAATACCTACAGAAATAATACCCAGGGTTGTCAATGTTGATGAGGAGATCGAGGGTTGTGTGGATCTTTCATAAGATGATGAGAAGGTAAGAGATTATGTGGAATAAATTTGGGTTGCCAGGATCGTTCTCCACTTTCGTGGCCAAGTGATTTAGCTGTTTCTTGTTCTTTTTCAAAACAGATATCAGCAACAAAAGGAAACGCCTTCTTAGAGCTGGATAAAGAAACACTCAGTTATCTTCCTGCGTAGGACTTCAAAAGAATACGCCTAAGTCAGGAGATCTACTTTTACTGGCTTCAGGTTGTCCGAACCAGAAATTTGTCACTGGAAAAATAAGTGGCATATTGGGATATTTCAAACTGCACATCGAATATGGTAAGCCGTTTGTTGGGACAATCGTTGGAACGAAACAATAGAAAAGAGGCATGAAATATTTGTTGTGAGTTACACAAACTCATTGTCCTGAGAGAAATCAACAAACGAAGCTGGCAGAAGTCAGCTAACTCTAGTCAATGATACGAATGGATCAATGCACGTGCTCACCATTTAAGATAGAGTCAATGTACGACAACGGCGAGTTGTACAGGAGATCCAGCTCCTCCGAGGTGAGACTGCCACTTGGGATTGTGCTGAGTCAAAGAATAGTCAGTGGGGGAATCGAACAGGTCGTTGAACATAATATATACCTATAATCAGAGGCATCGTGAAGCTGGCTGGGGATATTAAACGGAGGAATGTCATTAGGACTATCAAAATTCACTTCATCGTGGCTCTGGGTGTCTGTAACAACCCGTCGTGCGTCCACATGTTCTTGATCCGTCGATGCCCTGAGGCCGCTTTCGTCGCAAAATGCATTTCGGAGTGCAACAAGAGCTCGTGAGTGCCCCTCGGAAAGCCACTGCCAGCTCTGAGAGGCAGATACAGAAGTAGGTGCTGCAGTTGCAAAGACCTCGATAACCTTTTGCTGTAAATCTCGACATTCCGGATCACTCCGAGTCTCTTCCCAAATACATAAAAGTAACGTTGATATAAGGGCAGTGTGCACCATTGGCCAGCTCCTAAGAGGGACGGTACTCAAGGCCTGAAAGTCTAGAAAGGCATTAGATGCGTCAATCAAACTTTCCTTAGCTCTCTGTCTCAGCATAGTATGTTCCGGTACTTCAATAGAATTACCAGGCCTCTGTATGGCTGGTCGGCACACATGTAAGATGCAAAATGACATGTGCATTTTCAGTGCCAAACGCTCTAAATGCTGGTGAAAGGTTTTGCAGTTCTCTCGGGAGCGTAGATGCGGTTGCGCGCGGCTGTACGCATTATCCAAGCCTCCTAAAGCAGCAATAGAAGGGATAGCGTCTCGTGCGTCTGGCTCCCCTGCATCGACTATCTTCAGGCCAAGTCGGCAGATGTAATCCGTGATATCTGTATAGGAAAGATTGTCACCAGCCAACTCCGTCGAGGTATATCTAGAGGTAACAGGAGGACGGCCGTGGCATAAGCTAAGCAAAGCGTCTTGCCATACGACATTTGACCTACCGGTACAGTGGTCAACATTTTTTCGGTTTTGAAAATTTAGACCCTGCTCACCAGCATTTCCTTGCTGTACTTTTCATACGTTCTGAGAGATGGGCCATGCCTTTCTCGGTATGAAAGCCTTGGATCTGCGCCAATCGCACAGTTGTACCTAGCATAGCCCATGCAGCATCAGACTGGCCGTTATTCTGAAGTGTGCTCCCAAGTAGTAAGAGCGTCTGAACAATATCCGCGGAAGGGCGAAACAAGAAGTTGGCCAACCGGAGCGCTTGGAACGATCTCTGCTCTGCACACAATAAGTAACTCAGCGATTAAGTGTAGAATAATGTACGCTAGACACACCAAAATCCTGGCATAAGCTTGCGCGCTCGGGATTCTCGATATCCGAGAAATGTGCGCCCGCTGCCAACACAGCCAAAATCAAACTGATAAATCCCAAGGATTTTCCTGATAGCCAACGATCTGATGTCTGACTTGAACCTTGGAGCTCACCTGCTGCAAGGGCGTTCAAATAAGAGTAGATATCTAGCTCAAACTGGTCCATATCGACGAGGACTGGAGTAAAAAGGTAGTTAGAGGTTTTGTAAACGTGGAAAAACCTATTATGTATTGTTAGAAGTGTAGACATTAGACCTTCTTAATCACCTTGAGATGAACGTACTTAAGGACTTCGTCTCGCTGCGGAAGTATCTCCAGTAACATTGCCCACTTATTTTGAGACAACTTTTGGTCCATAAAAGGGTAGCTGCTGAACGTATTTTGAAGACCGAGTACGGGTTCAAGGTTCATTTTAAGAGTATCATTAGACCTTTGGGCTTGCGATCGCACAATAGACGCGATAGAGTTATCGCCAGAGAAGATATAGTCCTGAGCGCTTTCTTCTTGCATGGCAGATGCGGAGAGCGGAGTTCTTCTGGGGCTTTGCATAGAAGTCCTCTCTTGCTGTCGCCCGCATGTATACGAACCAAGACCCTGCAAGGAAAGATCCGGAGCTTCTTCTGGATTGGCTGAATGCCTAGCTGTAGATAAGGCTTGCCCATACGGAATTCTTCTGGTAGCAGGGGATTGGTGGCCCGGAGCGTAGGTGCAGATCAGTGGATGGCCACGTTTCTGGCATGTCTTACAAGGGGAACCCTTATCACATCTCACTTTGCGTCGCCTGCAGGGGATACAAGCTTTTATTTCGGTCTCCTTGCGCTTGAGACGAAGAACGCGGTCAATTTCCCGTTCATCGCTGGCACGAGAATTTCGTGACATTTTGTCTGCCATTGAAAGTCAGAATATCTGTCAAGGGTTAAGTATGAACGGAGACCTGAACGCACCATCAAAAAGGGGAGTTCTCTATCAGCTCTGGTGGTGACTTTCCATACACGTCGATTGAGTTATTGCCACTCGGATCACACGGATTCCTCTTTGGCTTTTTGTTATGGTTCACGTGATCGTTTTATGAACTGTGACAGAAGGTTTGACCCCGGTAACGTAACTCATCATTCATGTTTTCGAATACTTCAGTACACTCGTATTTCAGTCAATACTATCCATGGCGGAGTTTCCGTGTTGTTCCCACCTGTCAAACTGCCAAAATTGCGCCTCGAAGAACCACTCACTTGCAGCGCCGCTGCTTCCGAAAGAAATGAATGCGAATGACAGCATTATTCATATTCGCATTCATATTATTCATTTCATTCATATTGCGCGCATTAATTGTTTTTCCGTTACACATGTTTTCGTATTACCGAAATACCTTTCGACTCGGGGCCAACTTGGATTTCAAAAGGGATTGCCCATCACGGCCTTGGCCAAGCAGAAAAGATAGGGTTTCCCATGCAAACTATGCCGTCAACATTGTATACCCTATGTTTGTAGGGCTCGATAAGGTTTACGTATTTCGTGGGATTATGTTTACTTTGGCTTGGTTCTATGGTTTAGCTTATGATTCTTTCGTTGTTGATTAAGCATTTGAAGTCTAGTGATACCGTTTTAAACTAATATTCTCTTATTTGACCACATTTCACTCCTTATTCCATCCATTCCATCGTTCAAACTCTTCCGTATCAAGATCAAATAGATCTAACATACGACCAACGCTCTGATCAATCAACTCTTCCACTGACGCGGGCTTGATATAAAACGCAGGTACTGGAGGGAAAATGACCGCGCCGCTTTGCGAGACCGAGAGCATATTCCGTAAATGAATATCGCTCAATGGTGTTTCACGGGCCACTAGCACGAGCTTGCGACGTTCCTTTAACATCACGTCTGCCGTGCGGGAAATCAAGTCTTCGCAAAAGCCGGAGTTGATAGCTGCTAGAGTCTTCATGCTGCACGGAACCACGATCATGCCATTCGTGCGGAACGAACCGCTAGATACCGGGGCGGCCATATCATTGATATTGTAGACATGATCGGCTAGCGCGCGGACATTGGATGGATGGTAGTCTGTCTCATATTTGATGGTAGCTTCTGCCCATTTGCTGATGATGAGATGTGTTTCAATGTTTAGGCGGCGTAGAGAAATAAGAAGTTTGATGCCCAGAATTGCCCCGGTTGCGCCTGTCATAGCAACGACAATCTTTCTTCTTTGAGGGCTGATGGGGTGATCTTGTGACTGGACCGGAGAGTCCGAAGTGTGGTTTCCGGTCGTGGAGCCCAGAAGTGTGTTCATCATGGTGCGAAACTTTTGAGTAAATGGTTGAAGTCCGGGAAATTCACTGAGAAGGCAGGTCAAGGGCGTTGTAAAGAATAAGGTAGGAGTAGAGAAGCTGTAGGGTCCTCTTTGCCATATTCTATCGCAAGAACGCTTCGCAATTTATACCCAAAATCCAAGCCAACTCCTTGCGGATCACCGGCATGATTATTATGATGATGCTCTACCTGGCGTAACGTCCTCGGCCCTTGTTTCTACCTCGTTGTGGTGGCTCCGAGCCTCCGAAGTGAACACACCGAGCCGCCGAGAGCAAGATCGGCCTCACCAGAACAAAGTCATTCTCTTGAAGGCGAATCGGAAGACGGCAAAAAAACTATCGTGAGCTGTACTGATCTTGGTTTACTTGTTTAAAGGGGGGAAAAACATCTGCCGCTTTACCCGTCATTCTTTCCTTTTTTCATAGTATTCATGGTTGCTCCCAGTATGACGTGTCCCACGCAGCAATTATGAATCACATCATTTTTGAAATCTCTGAGGTTCTAGCCAAGCAGCAATATGATGCGTCATAGTACCGGTATAAGGGATGAAGAGGGTGGCGCGACGGTGCGAAGACGCTGGTATTATCTTCCCTTCCCAGCAACTCCCACCTTTCAGGTCTAGGCTAGCCGTCAAAAGCAAATAGAGATAGCCCCTTTCAACGTGCATAAAATCTTGATATTACAAGATGCTTATATCTTTAACATACACTCTCTGCTTTAAACCCCATTTATCCTTGAATAAATAGTTGTTTATGATGCCGCGGCTCAGTGTGTCACTTCGGAGACTAGGGTACAAGATATTATAGCAGGTATTCGCCTTATACGTTGATAGTCTGTGCGTTTGCAAGATGACAGGCAAAATAAGGCAGATTTTGTATGTTAATCAGAACGGTACTTCAGTATAACCTAATCTCTAAAGGAGATGCAAATTTTGTACTCAGGTAAATACACGGGGAATTTGTGTGAACATCCATCTTTTCCCACAGAATACATACTTAAAGAAACCATTAGCCGCTTTGTTCATATCGGCTTTCTCACACAAACTTTCCATTCATCGGTTCGATTCCGCCTTCTCCAAATCCAAGTCAGCTTGAGGCCAGAAGTGAGATAGGTCAAAAACCGGGAGATTAAAAGGGAAGGCCATTTCTGCAAGTATAAGCGCACACGTCAAATACCATGCTAGCATAGCCACAACAAACAAGAGCCCTCCTGAAACCTAGAAATATATTATTAGCTGACGGTAAACAAAGACATATGCTGTGCGTACATGTTTGAGGTGCAAAGCGGTAGGGAGGTGTCCGACGCTAGCTCTCCAATAAGATGCGGAGAGGGTGAAGAGTCCAGCCGTTGCATTGACAAAGAGGACTGCGAGCACAGCGTTCGTTCTGAGAGTCACAAGGAAAATGGTAAAAACTGCGAATCCTAATACCGAGATGTATAGAGCGATACCGGCATTATAGTCGGCTGTCAATGCACCATCAAGAGCATTGCCAGTTGGTGAATATGATGATGCAATATCGGCAGTTGGCAATTGAAGGATGCCAAGAGAGGACCAAAACACGCAAAAGAAACCGCAAAGCATCATGTTAAAAAAGTTGCCAATTATCCACTCGAATATTGTCGAGAGTAGAAGGAGCAATGGCCCAGTAAAGAAGAATATTCCTCTTTGAATAGGGTTAGCAAACAACCAGAGCTAGAGATTGATTTGTGTGAACGTACACAACACTTGACAAGGATGAGGCTCCACCCCAGCCCATTAGAACCATCGAAAAGGTTGCAACGGAGATTGTAAATCTTTCATACTTTAGTGGAAAGGCCAATCGAAAATCACTGGATGAAGTTCTCACCCCATGAGCCCTAACGGAAGAGAGTTCGCCAACTTTGCTCTACATCTGCCATTGTATAGCTGTAGTTGTGAACCCTGGATCAATATTCAGCATCTTGCCAAAAAGAATTCAAAGACTTGAGTAACACGAGGCCTACTGTTCTTGAAGTCGATTGCCGGGTAGCGGTATGATTAAGGACCTGGTCGGACATGATCGATCAATGAGGAGAGCAGTGATATACAAATTGATGAGTAACCGTCGCACAGATGAAACCAGATGATGAAGACAAGTTTGTGCAGGTTCTCCTGCACTATTTATATCTTGGCACGTATTGTGAACATGAAAAGGTACATGCCAATAATATCATGAGTCGGATGTTGAAGCGGTCGGATGTTCGGGGCCTCGCCGGGTACTGCGGTTCAGCGGCATTCCTAGCCAAAGCAGCCGAGTGACAGCCTGCAATTGAAGTATCCTCGGCACCTTTAGCAAAAGACAAACAAAAAAGCAAAATGGCTTGCCAGATAGATGGTTCAACAAATTAGAGAGCCCCTAAAGGTGGCTGAAGCTCAAGATTGGATCGGGGGCTCAGGTGGTGGCGTTGGAGTTCGGAGGCTCGCTTCCTCGGAGGCTCGCTGTGCCCTCGGTGGCTCGCTATACCCTCATAGACTAGGAGGCTTCTACGGAGTGACCAACGAGCATCGGTCCGCGTAGAACTAGAACGCTATTGTCGCAGTGCGGTACAGATGCGACTATTTAAGGGCTGTGATGGACACGCAAGAACCCCAAGAACCTGCGGGAAATATACTCGCTCAAAAATCGTCTTTGCCCTTTCCCTCACAAGAGCGAATCTCAGTCTACATCACCAACAATGTCTACCGCAAGAGACAGAGATCCAGAGCCTCCACACTTGAGTTTCCGCACCTTTGTGGATTCTCTCCGGGGGGACAAGGATCTAGTGGAAGTGAATGACTCCGTCGACCCAAACCTCGAGGCTGCAGCTATTACTCGTCTTATATGTGAGACCAACGACAAGGCACCGCTGTTCAATAACGTCCTGGGGGCTAGGAATGGCTTTTTCCGCATCCTCGGCGCTCCAGCCGCGCTACGCCAATCCAAAACGCAGCGTTTCGGGCGCATCGCGCGACACCTAGCCCTGTCCCCCGACTCCGGCCCCAGCACAATCATGGAGAAGTTGCTCTCCGTCGGGTCGGAGAAGCTGGTTGATCCTATTACAGTCGAGTCGGGGCCTGTCAAGGAAAACAGCATTGTAGGCGACGATATTGACTTGACAGCCATCCCAGCACCCATGGTACACGAGACCGATGGCGGCAAGTACGTTGGTACCTACGGTATGAACGTTCTTGCAGCACCCGATGGCGAATGGGTTAACTGGTCTGTCAACCGTACCATGATCGTGGGTAAGCGCACCATGACTGGAGCGTGCTATCCACCGCAGCACAATTGGCAGATTGTCAACAAGTGGAGAGAGATTGGTCAAGACGCACCCTGGGCGATGGCATTTGGTGTCCCCCCCGCAGCAATCATAGTGGCTGCTATGCCTATTCCAGATGGTGTCAGCGAAGCTGGCTACGTCGGCGCCTTGAGTGGGGAACCTATGAAGCTGGTCAAATGCGACACGAATGATCTCTACGTACCGGCCAACGCCGAGATTGTCTTTGAGGGCACTATTTCGACCACCGAACAAGTCCCCGAAGGCCCTTACAGCGAGATGCATGGAGTGAACTTCCCTGGAGATTCGCATATGATGCCACTGTTCAAGGTCAACAAGATCACCTACCGCAACAACGCGATTCTTCCCCTGTCAGCCACTGGCAGACTGACGGACGAAACGGTTAGGATATCCCTCCCGACATTTAAAGACAACTTTCTTTTTGCTCTGATAGCTCTGGCTGACCAATTTGAAACAGCAATCCTTGGGAGGTCTAGTGACTGCCGCAGAAGTTTTGCAGCTCTGTCGGGCTGCCGACTTACCGGTTCTGCAAGCTAGCTCGCCGCTCATCTCTCAGTGTACCTGGATCGCGGTCCAGGTTGATGGACAGCGGCTTCGAGCCATGAAGATCACCCCGAAGGAGCTAGCCGAGCTTGTCGCTAATATCGTGTTCAAGTCCAAAGCCGGGGTGCCATTCCACCGCATCATCCTAGTCGGCGAGGACATCGACGTACACGACGATGCAGACGTCATGTGGGCATTCTCCACACGTTGTCGACCCGGGCTGGATGAGTATCCCTATGAAGATGTCAAAGGGTTCGCGCTCATTCCTTACATGGCTCATGGCAATGGCAATCCTACCAAAGGCGGCAAGATGGTCTGCGATGCGCTGTTTCCCGTCGAGTACACCACCGGCAGGAACTGGATCAATACCAGCTTTCGCCAAGGTTATCCCAAACCTCTTCAGGACAATATTTTGGCCAAGTGGGAGGAAAGGGGTTTTAACAAGTTAGACTAGCGCTTCAGGCCTTGCCTTTTGGGGTCATCAACAGAGCGAAGTATGGATCTTAGCATGATGGAACAGGACGGAAGTGGTTTGGAGGGTTGCTGTCAAGGGGAAGGAGCAGACTTTGGCCGTTAATCGAGTGTCTGGCCTTCCCTTCGTCTTTTTCTTTTTGTATGGAAAATTGGGTTATCTCAGAAGTATGGTGTCTCAACACACATCAAATAGATACAGGAGTCTCTCAACAGCACTCTACAGTGGCTTAGATCAATCAATTTAAATTAGACAGTTCTTAGAAAGTTGACTACGAGTAGGTAGGGCTCGATGCCCCGGGAGAATACTTCAGCCATAAGATCCGCCCGAGCATTGGGAACCGTATTCTGGAAGTATTCCATAGTAATAAATTAGAAGTTGAATATATAGCTAATTGTTTGTGAATTCCCAAGATTATCTGCCCTGGCGACCGATACTACTCCCTCTCATCCATTCACTGAGATACTCTCTCATACATCTCACGATGCTTATCTTCTTCACACGGCAATAATGTGGTCAACGAAACCGTCATTCTCCAAACCTTCCTTAAGAGAATCGGGCAGGACCGCGCTAATTCAATACTTAGCATAGCTATCGTGACTATGGACCTAGGATACTTGCTCGATGCTTAAGTTCGAGTTTTCCGGGGCAAAACTCTTTATCACAGTGCCCCCATGATTTTGGATATATGTCTCGTAGTCATGTAAAACAGACTTTCTTGGGGCAGATTGGTTGAAAACAACCTATTGAGATAATCAGGGACTAATGGTCTGCGAAGTCATGATTGTTGGAAGCACTTACTTTCCATTTCCTGGACATCTTAACAAAAGCCGTATGTTTGGGGAATGTTGTTCGGTTGAGATTGGTGAGAACTGGAAATACGTGCAAAGTTTGTTCAACTTTATTCAAGCGACCGTACACGAACTATTTATACTCGTATCTTCTGTAAAGCAAGGGCAAGCCGCTACAGTACTAACGGTGAATGAGAGAGTTGAACGGATCCAACGAATATCGTGACGTCATAGCATAATTAGGCCCCGTGGACCTATAGAACAAGCAAAATACGAGGTTAGACGCACCTCCGTCTCCGCCACCACGCACAGAACGCCGTCATCTGACGTACAAACGTTCAAAGTTTACTATCAATACGTATAGAAATACCCGCAACCGCTCATGATATCTTGCCACCTTGCCTGCCTTGTAACGCGCCATAAGCCGGCTCACAAAATAGAAATCCACTCAGCAGTAGTACAGAAAGCATTGAGACAGGCGAGGTAACCATCAAGCTGATCCGCCCGCACAATTTGCGCCGCACCTTTTACGTCAAAAACAAATCCATAATGGTAGAAATGCACGGCCATCCTCATAGCGCGGATCAAATGCAACTCAGCATCGGAGGTATCATTAACTTCCCCCAAGGGTTTGCCAGAAGAGGCTTTCGAGTTCGCGGTCGCGAGGGTAGTAGTGTCACCTCTGAATCTATCCGGCCTAAACCCTCAAGCCTATATAGTTAGCGCGAAGCCGAATGGCAGAATCTTTGATTCCGCCTAGTCAACAATCCCTGTGATATTTCTAGCTTCGGGATTGGTGAGGAGGTTTATCACGTTAAGGGTCATGTGGCTAAGAACAAAAGGGAGCGCTCTTGAGCAAAGAGACGGGATCTCCTTGCGGACGCTATATTTGGTGTAAACCGGGACGGCATGTCTCGAGCGAGAACGTCGGAATTAGATTGGAACCCCGCGCGGAAGATAGCGGTGTCATCTGTGTATGGCCGTTGATCGTTGTTCTATGACTGTATTAAGATCCTGTTCTACAATAACAGCTCTTGAAAAAGAAGCCACAACTGTGCTAGGTGTACCTTGCAAGGTCCTTGATAATGTTACGCTGTCGGGACATGTTGCCTACAGTAGTTTTTGAAATCAGTTATACCGCTACACTTGCCATTTCATTCCCAGAAAATAAAGACGAAAGGCGCTGCATTTTAGTTCACCGCTCCGTAATATCTGCAGAACTGTAACGGTAATGGCCGTAGACGACCGGTGAGTCATCGTCATAATACTATATAGTTCTAACGAGCATGATCGCCCGCCTGCTTTCTCCCATGCCCGTATCGAGATGTACATCGAATTCCTCAACAGCTGACCCAAAAACCTTATAGTGCTGCCTTACTCCCAATTGCTGATTGGATGCCTAAAGAGCGCGGTTTGGCGTTGGGTCTGGGCCGAGTCGATTAGGTACCCCACACCGTGAAATGATAGCTATACCAAAACATGGGAATTGAGAACTCACTATACGGCACAGAGCAGTTATAATCGTAGGCTACTAGTCAACTACGTAATTCCTCCATCTATATATAAGCTTACATGGTATTAAAAAGAGCCTCTTTTCACCTCGACCTCTAGTTATATTCTCATTATCGCTTATATTGATATCCTATTACTATTCAACAGATATGCGCCTCACGAACATCGTTTTATTCGGCTCTGTTGCGTATTGGGCCGCCGCGGCGCCTACAGAGTCTCACGCCCTTGTTGAAAGACAGGCGATTAACGTGAACGGTTGCTGGTGTTGCAATACGGTTATAAAGCCTTATGGAAACTTCTATGGCGCTGGGGCTGGTTGTAAGGCTGGTAAGTCACCCTCTACAGCGTTTTAGAACCACTTTAACAGTACATCTAGGAGCGTGTGGTAATCGAGATCATGAGCTCTGTTGCACTGCTGCCGTCGTGAGTTTCCTTCCTACGTTGTTTAACAGGTAGCATACTGACTGCATAGCTCATGCCTTTTATCGCCTGTGTAGGTCCACCCTCCACTAGCCCGACTGGTCCCGGGGGTCCGGGTTAATTCCAAAATCGGCTCCTTCTTCTCCTTCGAGAACAATGAATAAATAAAGGGAAATAAAAAGGAGCGGGTAGAAAAAAGTATAGTTGCCATAGGCTCCTAACCTACTGATTTGTATAAATTATTTGGCAATAACCATTACGAAGCAACAAAGGGAAAGAAGATGTGTTATTTAATAATAAGACATGAGTGCTGGACAATTTGAATAGCCCCTTGATGCATGCCTTCCAATCATAAGATCTTTTTCTCTTTGTCTTCATTTCCTCAGTAGCGAAAAAAAAAGGGAAAAAAAAAAACACCCGATTTGAAATTAACGACCACCGCTATATGTCGACGGGGGAGAGAGAGGACCTACATAGGCAACAAAAGAGAAGCTATGCAACTTAGAGGAAGATGGCCACCTCCAGATATAGGCTGGGCGTCTCGGACAGGTGGTCGCAAAGGGGTTCTATCATCAGCGGTGTCACGGTTCGCTTCCGGCCTATTCGGGCCTGCGGCGCATAGATACTATCAAATTGCCATGAGTTTCTGCGAACATGAATGATCGTATAGCAAGCTTGCTACTTGAGCTTCATTAACCAACCAACCAAAATACCTAAATGCTGGCTACAAATTCAGGATATTCTGCTGATGTACGACCGAGCTTCAACTAGGTCGGCCATCTTCCACAATCTAGGCGGACAAACCCACCCACATCTCAACGTAACGAGCAGTAAAGTGAGGTGGAGAAGACCATGTCCATGATTCCTAGTGATGAAATTGTAGGCACTCTTTGGTGATTCAACGTTAGGTTGTTAACTGTAAAAAAAAAGCGTTCTTTCTTGAAAGGCCACACAAATATGAGAATCTAGGTCGTAAATGATTTTTTTCTTCTAGAATTGGTCAGAAAGGAGAATTAAATAAACCAATTTGGAGACAAAGCAAGTCAGTGACGTAATCCGCGGCCCCAAATAAAGGGCGGTGGCATAAATTCCCAGCGGAGATTAAAGTGGACGCCTAATTCTAGCGTGAGATTCCAGCTCTATTTCACGAACACCCAGCCCAAGCGGAATGGATGTGGGATTCAGCTTTCAATGACATCCAGGATCTCTTCTTTCTTTGGGGTAAGCACTATTTTCAACCTAGTCAGGGCGGTGCTTATGGCTTTTATTGGTTCGACAGTCCCAGCCGACCTTCCCGATAGCAGGCCGCCAACGACAGGAAGAAGTCAACCTGCACTCTAGTGCCTCCGATGGACTAGAGGAACGAGAGCCATTCATAGTTGACCGGGAACATGTCGACCAAGAGCGTTTTACACCATGGATAATCCGGAAGTCTCTGCGCACATGGAGCGATATACGAGAGTTCATCATTTCAGAGCAGGGACTGGGAATATTCAAGTGCAGCCTCGCATATCTACTCGCATCCCTAGCAGTTTTCGTACCCATGATTGGAAATCTCTTGGGCCATCAGAACGGTAAGCATTTGGTGGCGACGATCACAGTCTACTTCCATCCAGCGAGGACGCAAGGCAGCATGTACAAAGCACTAATATGTGCCTCCGTCGCTTTTATCTTTGCGGCGGTTCTCTCGCTATCGAGCATGTGGGTTACAATTCTCTTTCAAAGAAAGCACGACATGATTGAATTAGGCCATGCTGTGGTGCTGGTAGTTTTCGTTGCCGGTGGATTTGGGTTCATTGGATGGATCAAACAGAGACTGAGTGATCCGCTAGTCAATGTTGCCTGCTCTTTGGCTTCGCTCGCATCTACCATTGTCATTACCAAGGAAGGTGCTGTGCAAAGTGGCGCCCTTTCTTTCGACAAGATATCCCAGGTCCTAAGAATGGTTCTTTTAGGCGTCGGGATTTCGGCAGCTGTGTCGCTGTCGATACTGCCTCTTTCTGCACGGAAGAAGTTCCGAGGAAATCTTTCAACTCTAACAGATACAGTGACATTGATGCTCATGAGTATCACCGGTAGCTCCCTTCGCGGATCAGACTACGAGCTCCAAAAAGTAGAGTTTATCAATCTGTCTGCACGTCACGATAAAGCCTTCGGCCAAATGAAGAATATAATGGAAGAGACAAAGCTTGAGCACTATGTGGCGGGAACAGGGCTAGAGTATCATCTTGAAAAACGCCTCGTGTGTTTCATGCAAGACATCACCCATAGCCTGGGCGGTCTACGCAGTGCAGGAGCTTTACACTTTGAATTACTCGCACCGACCAGATGTACGAGGCCGACACAGATGTCATGTCCGGAAACCGACTCCTCTGTTCCCGTCACCATAGGACGTCCGAAGCTAGTCAGTCAGCCACAATCTGTTTCAAAATCGGACGTGGAACTCTACAAGGCAGAGAAATTACAATCTGCACCTAAGATTCAACAGGACACTCCCTTGAACCATTCCGGAGATGATTTTGAATCAATAATATCTCGGCTCGAAATTTCCATGGTGAGAGCAATGCAAATGGCAGCAATATCCGGACCCAGTGTAATCTGATGCTTAATAGCTCTCCCTGGCTTCTACTCTGAGAGATATCTTCAAAGAAGTGTCTTTTGGACCTGCCCCCGATTACAGGATCTCCATTAATGGTGGAGCTCGCCCCCGTATCGATGAAGCAGTTAAGATATACCGAGAAACTCGAATGTCCGCTTTGTGCTCGCTTTCTCACGAAAGAGAGATAATGTCTCTCACCCAGGAGAGCAAAGCTGACCTTGAAGAAATTTTCGCAAGCTGCGATTATTTTTCCGTGTCTCTCCTCAAGCTAAGTGAGAAGCTGCAACAGTTCTTATCAGTTTTGGAGGAGCTTCAAATCGAGGTTGATGAAAGACCTAACGAAAAGTCTTGGACTTGGACGTGTGTTTCGTGGTGGCGGGCTGATCATCAACATGAGAGACACCATTTGAATACAGGTGGGTTTTTCTGACCTAAGAGTCTTTTGGGAACCATTCCGCTAATAAGCCCATCACCAGCGCCTTCGTCGAGCCCTTACCGCACCGAAGTCAATAGTACAAGTTTGACGCACATGTCGAATCCCACCGATCAGCTTGAAAATCGACACCGAAGACAAACACGATACAATAGAGGTCATTCTCATGCTTGGAGGCCTTTTGATTTCTTTCGCACAGATGAAATCAAGTTCGCTCTCAAAGTAGGGATCGGAGCAGCGCTTTATGCTTTGCCTTCATTTATATCCTTGACGAGACCGCTCTATTTATTTTGGAGGGGAGAATGGGGCCTTCTCTCATACATGTTAGTATGCTCGATGACTATTGGTGCATCAAACACTACGGGTTATGCTCGGTTCCTCGGTACATGTCTTGGGGCCCTTTGTTCGATAGGCGCCTGGTACATTACCGGAGGAAATGCTTTCAGGCTCGCAGTTGTGGGTTTTGTTATGGCCCTAGGGCCATTTTATATGATCATTGTTAAGGGTAAGGGCCCCATGGGCCGATTCATACTACTAACCTACAACCTGTCCGTGCTCTATGCTTTCTCTTACTCGCAAATCGATGGCAGCGAGCAGGACGACGGGGGCGAACAACTAGATATTACCAAAATTGCCCTTCATAGAGTCATCTCTGTCATCTCGGGCTGCATTTGGGGTATCATCATCACACGAGGTATCTGGCCCATTCGCGCGCGGACAAAGCTCAATGATACTTTACATCTGCTGTGGTTCCGTTTAGGCTTGATTTGGAAATCCGATCCATTGAACACAATGGCCACGGCAGAAGCAAGCATGCCTGTTCTCTACATGAACTCTCATGACAAGAACGAGATCGAGCGCCTCCTTTCACAGCTCGAGAATCTTCAGGTATCGGCGCGCTCCGAATTCGAATTGAAAAGTCCTTTTCCAGATACCGAATACAGTAACATCATTCGCCAGACAAGGGGCATTGTATCCAATTTTCATTCTATGAACCTCATTCTAGTCAACACCCCTACGCCATCGGAAGGTCAAATTTCTCTTCTACGATATACTGCCGCTGTTAGACAGCAGCTGTCTGAACGCATCGGTCACCTGCTAGCTGGTAAGTCTTGAACGGCCAACGAAAAATTTAGTCACAAATTGGCAAGGAAAACCATGGTTATCTTGCTGCTGACACTTAATACAGCCATGGCATCGTCAATAGTGCTGGAGAGTTCCTCCAGCGATGTTCCAACAAATATAAAAGATTCAAGAGACCGACTTTTGGCACAAATTTCTCACTATCGCCAAGGACGAATGGCGTCTTCTTTGACTGATGGCGAAGACTATGTGTTACTCTCCTCCTTCGGTGAGATCCCTAGAACTGATAGCCTTTGAAAGTCCCGGGACACTTCAGACATTTCTAACCAGTAATAGTACTTGTGACCCAGCTATTGTCAAATGAGATCTCTGAGATAATGGTGGAACTGGGTCGCATCTTCCCAGTCTCGGATGATGAAGTCTCTGTTAATGCAGACAGAGTATAAAAAAAAAGACGACACCTTTGACAAATATTTTGGGAAAATCTTCAGGTATTTGCTATTGTGGGTTAGTCGGTAGGATTCCTAGAACCGTCGAAGAGTATAATACCTAGAGATATTTCCTACAAATCCTACCTTCGCAGAAGCTTAAACTGTTAAAGAAAGAAAGTGACGGTCGCCGGAAACTATTTTCTGAAAGCAGCATTGAATCCCCTGAGCAACATCCTTGTTTGTCCAACTTCTCGAGGACCTCCCGCGGAGGCGATAAAGCAGAACTTAAAAAAAGGCTATAACAATAATTCGCGAGGGCATTTATTTGGGCTGCCGTTAAATCACACCTTACTGATGCACCTCGGGTGCCACTTGTGAAATTTTTGTGACTTAGAACGAGGTCAATTTAGGCAAAATGTGTGATTCAAAGCCGCAATCTGGCCGAACCTACTTGAATATCAAGAACATTATCGCCTAGCTCTGCGTACATACCAGTGGCTATCAACAGATAGATACCTTGGGAACGGAGAACACATTTCCCTTTATTGAGATTATAAATATTTGAATGATTCTAATATCAGGCGAATACAGATCGCGTAGGTACATTGCCATGCTGAAAAAACGATCGCTTTATATCATAGTAGGTAGGATTCAACGAGATAAATCATCAATAACAAAGCGAGTAATACCATCATGATCAAGAGTGTCAGAAAAAGCAATTATCAGTGGCCATAGAGACGATTGAAATTGAACTGCCAGTGTTACTCGCAAACCACGTTCTCAAAATTCTAGTTCAGTCCAGGTCAGAGTCTTCGTATGCGCTGCCAATTTTGGACCGATTTCCGTATATTGGCGTATTTGCGATTTTCCCATCGTTGTCAATACGAATAGTTAGGGTCTCCATGACAATATCGGGATATTCGGTATCTCCAGGATCAACGATAGTTTGTATTTGACTGTATGTGTGCAAGAGCATGACGTTGTGGTACTCGCGAAGGTCGAGCAATTTTGATAGAGTGATGGACATTTGGGAACTTTGCTTCGGCTTTCACAAAATGCGGTATCTCGTCTCGGTACTGGGAGGGCTGCAATTGATTATGGTGATGTGTAGAACATTAGAACAAAATAGTGCGAGGTTCGAAAGCGTTCGTAAAGAAGTAGCTGGGCAGTAAACCGGAATTTCAGTGGAATCGCGGGGATGTTACATCTTCCTTATTAATTGGTCAAGGGCTTTGTAAGGGGCAAACGCCTCCCGTTAGCCTAGCGGCGGAAGTGGACTCCGAGCGGGGCCTAAGACAGGTCGAGCCAGCCAAGCTAAACGCCGGTTGGTAAGCTACTGGACGGCAAAACCAGCCGACTGTAGGGGGTGCTGCGGGATCTGTTAGCATCTCTGTTTCTGTCGCTCAAATTGTCCCCGAAATTCGGCAATACGCCGCTTATCCTGTTATTCCAAGATAGACTGTTGGAAGGGTTGAAACCAACTTTCATTACGCATGATGACGACAGAACACCCCTGCATTGTCCTCTTCATCGAAAGCGCAGATGTAGATTACGAAACCAATTTCTTCAGCCTCACCTTCTCTTCGCTCATATCCCTCTCTATCTTCCGCGTCGCCATTCTATATGGACATAACTACGTTCCAATCGAGACCTTTATAGTGTCGTATTTTCCCTTTTTATTTCTCGAATATGAGGAGTTTACGGATATTATTAAAAACTTACGCCGTGCACCAACGTAGCTAAAATATTCTATCGCGTAAAGCTATTGTTAGGACCCTGCGAGCTCCTAGGTAGCAGGTTAGTCTATCGGTAGTGTATGTGCAGGTGTTTGAGAGACTCATCGCTGCTTCTCCATGCGAAGGCCAGCGACAGCAATAAATACACGGTGTGCTTAACTACTGTGTGAAGCGACATGCACGGTCATTATGGCTTATGCATGTGCTCAGCCACTTGCGCACTGAGCGGTCCAAGGCTTGCCGTATAGCCTCAGGCACCATCAGACACCTAGCAGGTCGGAATCCTGACATGAACCTAAGACTAATAATTCTAGGCACCTTTAGCCATATAATTCATCCAGGAAGATAACATCGAATTGCATTAAAAATGAACCCTAAGGTGTAAAATTCGGGCCGGCCCTCCCGTATCCGTATATCATAATCGTTAACAGAGTATCAAGTCTCAACATATATCTGTAAACATCTTCCTATAGGCACGCAATAATATCCAACTTCCAACCTGAGATCCCACCCTAAAATCCTAATCTATACCGTAACCCTCCGCTCCTTCAAATACTCATAATCATCCATCGCATCCCTAGTAGCCTTCTCAAGCACAGCAGCAACCTCATCCCCAAACTCAACCTTCCACTTCGCAACCTCAACATCAACATCAACATCAGCAGGCGCTTTATCCTTAACAATACCAGTGGACCCCTCAAGCGTAGAAAGCATAATAGCAGCAGCACTTCTCTGCCTCTTGATCTCCGCCGCATCCCCCGCACTCGCAAGATCCGCCGACCAAGTCTCAGACTTCTTCTCAACAACCCCATTCCCACCCCACTCAAACTGCATAGACCCAGTATCAAGCCCAGCAAGCTCACAGAACCGCACCACAACAGCAGGGTTATGGATCACATCATTGGCATCAATAACCAACGGCTGACTCGGCACATCCGGCTGCTCCATCGCCCAGTCGAACAGCTGGCGTGTCCACGACATACTCATGTTCGCCATGCCCATACCCTTTATTCCATCTTCGTCCATATAACCAGCCTGCGAGATCTTCTGCATGGCCCGATACAAGGATGGCCATGCGAGTGCGGGGTGACGGATGATAAACGCCAGCTTCCACGTGCGCAGATACTGATCTGGGAGGATGGTATCGTTGTGCGCGGAGAAAGTCGGGGCGCCGTAGCTGTCCGGCGTGGTGACGTGGAAAGTCTTCATATCGTCTGCTTTATTGGAGCCATCGCGCATGCTGGTGAAGACTCCGGGATTTGTGACCCAGAAGGCGTGTTCTTTGGCGAACATGATTTTGTTCTCGGCGCGGGCGCGTGCTGAATAGGCTTCCAAGTTGTCGAGGCTGATTTGGAAGGCGTTTTGGACTTCTGTTTTATCATTGTCGGTCCATTGTGAGAGCGGTTTGTTTAGGCGGCCTTCTTTGCCGGCTGCCATGAAGGCATCGAAGAAGAAGTAGCCTCCCTTTGGGCTAGTTAAGACGTTTGGTTGGTTTGGGATGTTGAGGATCTTTAGGAGCAGGTTGGAGGCTGTGCGGGGTACGCTGATAAGTAGGAGACGATTGGGCTGGTCATTTTGTTCGAGCCTGGTGATGGCCATTGTGTATGGGTTTGTTGTTGCTTGTATACACTTTAAATGGTAGGAATTAAGCTTAAGTTGATGCGGTGCAATGAGGAAGACGAGAGATGGCTACATTCTGGAGACGGATGGCGTGATCTCTCTTAAATAGATTGAACTTCAGTGCAGATCATCTCTACATTTGGTTAATTTTCTAGTCTGTTTCGTCGCAGACCGCTGCATCGACGTCGTATGGAGCAAGACTGCCACGGGTACATCCGCTTTTTCCATATGGAATCATGTACAAATGGACCTTCGGCCTCAAAACTGCCCGATCGGCCTTCGTCCCTGTTTATCACCGAGGGTGGAGCCGTCAATCCGTCCGTTTGAAGTCCGCAATTGGCCGCGCTGTCACATTGAGTGATGATCAGCGGAGTACTTCCTCAGACAAGTTGTGTTCCGAACTGCGCCGGACGTTCGAGAGTCCGAGCCGTCGTATGACCTACAGTGTTATTAATACCAAGTCTTTATGATGATCCCTCGAGGTACATGGTCATAGGCGAGTTTTACCTGACTAAAAGGACCTAAAATGTTGGACGTGGGGGCAGAAACGGTACAGGATCAGTAAAACATTTACTCAGGATGGAGCTTGATATATAGTTACCTAGGTAGCCTCATTCTCATGTTTTTCGCCAAGTAACCACCACAAGGCTACCTCGAGTTTATAGTAACATGATAAAGGACATGTAGATCAAAGCAAACCACGATGTCCAAGGACGATCAGATGCAACTAACGAGCATTGCAGACTGCATATTCTCCACATCCCAACTTCGAATATAGGGCTTTACGGAAAACATCCGAGAGTCAAAATTAGAAACACTATTCGCATACACATACTTCCCATAGCCAAGACATTAAAATTCCCGCACAGGCATAATCAAACATTCAAAATAAAATACATATGCAATTACCAAAAGCAAACCAATATTTTCCGCCCAGAACAAAAAAATCAGTCGGAATCACTAGTCTCCTCCTCAGCCTTCGCCAAGCTCTGCTCCTTAGTAAGTGTAGGGTTACGAATGCACAGCGCGAAAGCAATCAAAGGCACAGTAAGACAGATACCAGTGATGCAAAGCAAGCGCTGGGTCTGCTTATAGGCGAGGATAGCGTTATCACGATCGGGAGTGCCGACGGGATTAAGGGCTGCGAAATCGAGGGGTTGAGCATAAATTTCGGCGGCAAGGGTTGCGTTGCCGACATGACGGTTCAGTTCCGAGGGGAGAACTTGGTTCCAGATTGCGCCGGAGATAGTGTTGCCTAGGGCGCTGCCGATGTTGTAGGATGCTAGGTAGATACCGGTGATAACCGCGAGATCTGGGATTGTGAGTATGGGGCTAAAATTTTGGGTTCAATTATAATAATGTGTGTACTCACGTTCGTGCTTGGTCGCGACTTGGATACTGGCTTGTGCTGGGTAGGGGAACATTCCGCCGGCTGGGGGTTGTTAGATATTTCGTTGCTTGGGGGCGGAGTGGCTCGATAGATCCATGGATGTGTGTGTATCACTTACCAATACCTAGCAGCACTTGCGCACCAATGACACCGGAGTGACTAGAGCTCTCGCTGCCACCGCGGAAGTAAATTAGGATACCAAAGGCAACCAGGAAGAGAACCGTGCCGGACACGATGAAGGGCTTCAATTGGCGGAGTTTAAGGACGAC